TGCACTTGGATTTCTGAGTGGGAGAATATATCCCTTATACCCAGCCATAAGGACAACAGGCTGCACATGGATTTCTGAGAGGGAGAATCAATCCCATATACTCAGCTACAAGGAAAACAGGCTGCACATGGATTTCTGAGTGGGAGAATATATCCCTTATACCCAGCTACAAGGAAAACAGGCTGCACATGGATTTCTGAGAGGGAGAATAAATCCCATGTACCCAGCTACGAGGAAAACAGGCTGCACATGGATTTCTGAGAGGGAGAATAAATCCCATATACCCAGCTACGAGGAAAACAGGCTGCAAATGGATTTCTGAGAGGGAGAATCAATCCCATATACTCAGCTACAAGGAAAGCAGGCTGCACATGAATTTCTGAGAGGGAGAATAAATCCCATATACTCAGCTACGAGGAAAACAGACAGCACATGGATTTCTGAGTGGGAGAATAAATCCCTTATACCCAGCTACGAGGAAAACAGGCTGCACATGGATTTCTGAGAGGGAGAATAAATCCCATATACCCAGCTACGAGGAAAACAGGCAGCACATGGACTTCTGAGAGGGAGAATAAATCCCATATACCCAGCTACGAGGAAAACAGGCTGCACATGGATTTCTGAGAGGGAGAATAAATCCCATATACTCAGCTACAAGGAAAACAGGCTGCACATGGATTTCTGAGAGGGAGAATAATTCCCTTATACTCAGCTACGAGGAAAGCAGGCTGCACATGGATTTCTGAGAGGGAGAATAAATCCCTTATACCCAGCTACGAGGAAAACAGGCTGCACATGCATTTCTGAGAGGGAAAATACATCACTCATACCCTGTTACAAATAAAAAATCTGCAAGCTGTCGAGAAGTCAAAGAAAGTCATGTGACACAGCACAAGTTATAATTCAGCTCACTTGAACAGCTCCTTTCTGTAGATTTTCAATTTATTTAATACTTTTACAAAGGCAGAATGAAACACGTCAGCAAGATAAATTTGTTGTCACGGTATCATGAGGGGTATAATGTGCATCCTGCATTAGGTTTTATAAATCAAGCCGGAGGAATGGTAGAGGGAGACTGTGTTAACAGAAATTGAAGATGTCTCAGATGCAGCTCACAGGATATCAGATGAGCCATATATATGTGAATAATGACATATATATATTGGGTGAACGTAATGATACCAACATTTACGTCAAAGGACCATGGATCCAAATACACTTGTGTTGGCACATATTCATCCCAGCACTTTGAGCTGGATGATTTCATAACAGAACAGAAAAGTGTTTTTTAAGGAAATCTTGTTTATTCTGTTTTAGATCTCAGATCCTAAAAGATGACATTACTGTTTATATCATTCTGCTTCAAATTGTACATTAATATTTACAGCAAAGGTTACCATTTAGAGACATTCATAAACCTAAGTGAGGCAGGAGAGAGGGAGAAGACATTTATGAAGAGACAATCATCAGTCCATCTACCCAACCATCCACTAAACCAACCTAACTTGAGCCGCTCATCCAAACTCTTACGATTGAAAGTTACCTGCACAGACACCATTCCGCAGCTTAACCACTAAATAGATCCATTCACCCAACTACTAAACATAGCACTGCTAACCCAACTGCTAATGCCAACTGAATAATTATTCCATTCACTTACTTGTCTGAATCATCAACCACCTTAATCGAACTATATAGAATCATGAATCCACCTAGTTTTTACACTGACAACGAAATGCATATTTCATTTTTCCAACTTCGAATCCAATCCAATCTTACCAAATGACCTAAATGGAAACCACCCACTAACCTTCTTACATGTCTAGAATCAACCAACACAACCTGTCTATAGCATGGGGAAACCAATCTAAGCATTGTCATATATGTCAACCATCAACTAATCCAACGAATCTGAATACTTTGTTTTGACTTCCTAAATATCAATGCTAAATGTAGTCACTGTACTATTAAGGTACCATTAAGGTCAGACAGGAGGCAAGAGATACACAGTAATACATGCAACTGTCACCATATGAAAGCATGTTTAGAAGCCACTTAGAAATTCCAATATTCTTCTAAATCAATTCACATAGGCGAATTACCTATATCGAGTAACACCTCCAACTGTCCAACTGACAGAAAGAACCTACCTAATAAAAGGCACCCATCCATCCTTTCAACCCACCTACATAAAACCACCCATCTACCGAATAAACTCACCTACATAAAACCACCACTCCACCCCATTAACCCACCTACATAAAACCACCACACCACCTTCTTTACCCACCTACATAAAACCACCCTTCCACCCAACTACATAAAACCACGACTCCACCCACTTAACCCACCTACATAAAACCACCACTCCACCTACGTAACCCACCTACATAAAACCACTACTCAACTCACCTACATAAAACCACCACTCCACCCACTTAAGCCACCTACATAAAACCACCACTCCACCCACCTACATAAAACCACCACTCCACCTAGTTAACCCACCTACATAAAACCACCACTCCACCTTCTTTACCCACCTATATAAAACCACCCTTCCACCCACCTACATAAAACCACCACTCCACCTACGTAACCCACCTACATAAAACCACTACTCAACTCACCTACATAAAACCACCACTCCACCCACTTAAGCCACCTACATAAAACAACCACTCCACCCACTTAAGCCACCTACATAAAACAACCACTCCACCCACTTAACTCGCCTACATAAAACCACTACTCCATCCACTTAACCCACCTACATAAAACCACCACTCCACCCACCTACATAAAACCACCACTGCACCCACTCAACCCACCTACATAAAACAACCACTCCATCCACTTAACCCACCTACATAAAACCACCACTCCACCCACCTACATAAAACCACCACTGCACCCACTCAACCCACCTACATAAAACCACCACTCCACCCACTTAACCCACCTACATAAAACCACCACTCCACCCACTTAACCAACCTACATAAAACCACCACTCCACTTACTTAACTCACCTACATAAAACCACCACTCCACCAACTTAACTCACCTACATAAAACCACCACTCCACCCACTCAACCCACCTACATAAAACCACCACTCCACCTACTTTACCCACCTACATAAAACCACCACTCCTACCACTTAACCCACCTACATAAAACCACCACTGCACCCACTTAACCCACCTACATAAAACCACCACTCCACCCACTTAACCCACCTACATAAAACCACCACTCCACCTACTTAAATCACCTACATAAAACCACCACTCCACCAACTTAACCAAGCTACATAAAACCACCACTCCACCCACTTAACCCACCTAAATAAAACCACCACTCCACCTACTTAAATCACCTATATAAAACCACCACTCCACCCACTTAACCCACCTACATAAAACCACCACTCCACCTACTTAACCCACCTACATAAAGCCACCACTCCACCCACTAACATTAAACCACCACTCCACCCACTTAACCCACCTAAATAAAACCACCACTCCACCTACTTAACCCACCTACATAAAGCAACCACTCCACCCACTTAACCCACCTACATAAAACCACCACTCCACCCACTTATCCTACCTACATAAAACCTCTACTCCACCCACTTAACCCACCTACATAAAACCACCCTTTAACCCACTTACATACTTTCACCACTCCACCCACTTAACCCACCTACATAAAACCACCCTTCCACCAACTAACATAAAACCACCACTTCACCTACATAACCCAGCTACATAAAACCACTACTCCACCCACTTAACCCACCTACATAAAACCACCACTCCACCCACTTAACCCACCTACATAAAACCACCACTCCACCCACTTAACCCACCTACATAAAACCACCACTCCACCCACTTAACCCACCTACATAAAACCACCCTTCCACCAACTAACATAAAACCAGCGCTCCACCCACTTAACCCACCTACATAAAACCACCCTTCCACCAACTAACATAAAACCACCACTCCACCCACTTAACCCACCTACATAAAACCACCACTTCACCCACTTAACCCACCAACATAAAACCACCCTTCCACCAACTAACATAAAACCAGCGCTCCACCCACTTAACCCACCTACATAAAACCACCACTCCACCCACTTAACCCACCTACATAAAACCACCACTCCACCCACTTAACCCACCTACATAAAAGTACCACTCCACCCGCTTAACCCACCTACATTAAACCACCACTCCACCCACTTAACCCACCTATATAAAACCAGCACTCCACCTACTTAACCCATCTACATAAAACAACCACAACACCCACTTAATCCACCTACATAAAACCACCACTCCACCCACTTACATAAAACCAGCGCTCCACCCACTTAACCCACCTACATAAAACCACCACTCCACCCGCTTAACCCACCTACATTAAACCACCACTCCACCTACTTAACCCATCTACATAAAACCACCACTCCACCCACTTAACCCACCTACATAAAGCCACCACTCCACCCACTTACATAAAACCAGCGCTCCACACACTTAACCTACCTACATAAAACCACCACTCCACCCACTTAACCCACCTACATAAAACCACCACTCCACCCACTTAACCCACCTACATAAAGCCACCACTCCACCCACTTACATAAAACCAGCGCTCCACACACTTAACCTACCTACATTAAACCACCACTCCACCCACTTAACCCACCTACATAAAACCACCCTTCCACCAACTTACATAAAACCACCACTTCACCCACCTACATAAAACCACCACTCCACCCACTTAACCCACCTACTTAAAACCACCACTCCACCCACTTAACCCACCTACATAAAACCACCACTCCACCTACGTTACCCACCTACATAAAACCACTACTTCACCCACTTAATGCACCTACATAAAACCACCCTTCCACCCACTTTCTACATCCAACCAAGCCTACCACCATAAAAATCTCATCTACTCAACCTGAAACATACAAATTCTCATTCACCCACAATTTCTAATTTCACCCAACAATAAAAGAACCATCCACTCTACTACGTACAGACACCTACTTGTATACCTATCCATCTTTCAACAATATTAATGCTAACATGCACACTCCAACTTACCACTGAAGTGTCACTGCGAGGCTGCCTCGGTGCTCCCTGAATGATGGGAGTTGTCAGGCAGTCTCTTTAGTGGGCGTGGCTGGGTGGACGTCTTCTGTGCAGAGGAGTTGCCTTGCTTTCTCCTCCACACCTTGCGTCGGCCACTCTGTGTATCCATGGTAACCTGGAAGGCTGCCCTCTCCTTCCTCTCCCTCTCCTTCACCTCCTGTTTCAGCTCCACCATCTCCTGTCTCAGCTCCTTCAGCTTCCTGTCAATGATGGCCTGGAGTTCCTGACGGGACTCTTTCACCTTGCGCTGCTTGTTGCTCAACTCCTGCTTCAGATCACCGAGCTTCCTCTTGCGAGAACACTCCTGGGCCTACAACAGACAACATAGCTTTCATCATGGCAGAACAGCAGACTCTCAAATCAGTCTCCTCAAAATTCAGCAATTTCAATATTACAGAAAAAATAGCTTTCATCGTAGCAGGACAGCAGAGTCAAACACACATCTCTATAATTTTGGCCTCTCAATAAACTTGCTGTAAATGATGGTCACTACAGTTCCTATCAATATTCCCAGGTTGTTGTCGAAACTAACAGATAAGCTTCAGTGCTCACATCCCCCCAAATTGCTAAATCTTGAGTACCATTACATTCATTAATGTGATGATTAGATGCAAGATATTTCCATTTGGACACACACAAGTGAGACTCAAATCTAAATCAAACAACTACTGACTTTCTGTGTAGAAGCCTCCTGATTCTCTGAAGCAACATCAGCAGCAGCAGCAGCAGAAGCAGAAGCAGAAGCATCAGACCTGGAGACCTCCTCCAGACTCATCCGGGCAAAGACTGGAACCAGCTGGTTCTCGATGCGGTGGTCTGTCTTTCGCTTGGTGTGGCGGCTCCTCCTTGAGGGAGGAGGCAGATGAGGAGAGTGATCATCTTCCGGAACCAGACTGTCCTCAGCCTGGTGCTCCTTGGGACGGCTATTCCTGCTCGAGGGATGCAGGCGTGGAGAGTCCTTGTCATCCTAGAATGGGCAGAACATCTGGTGATGAGGGCTGAGCTGAGCATATGTATCCAACCCGTGACAAGTCTGTTGTATTGTATTAGAACCATAAGGGGCAACATGTAGATGGGGAATTGCAATTTACCCAAAGCTAATGTGAAGTTAGAGAGGCTTCATATTACAATACATAAATATTGAAGCAAAGACTTCTCATAAAGCCATAGCTAATGCCTTGCATTAATGACAGTACTAACCTTGTCTTCATCATACCAAACCTGGAGACCCCTTTCCTAAAATATATTTAAAAAATTGTGAGAAAATACAGTGAAAGAAAAACACAAAATTCCATTGACCCCAATAAACCCAATGACAGTAATAACCTTGAAGTAAGAAAAACCTTGAAGAAAGAAAAACGCAAACTGCCTCCAACAGGATAAGGTTTTGCAATGACTTATTATTAGTTAATGTTGATGTTGATGTTTGAGGCCACAGTGTCATTTATGGAGATCCTACACTATGGGGAAGGATATTCTGAGGTCACAGCACCCATGACTGAGGTCCTACCTGTGGACGTTTAAAGCTGGGTTTGCTGTAGTCCAAGGGGTGAGGGCGGCCAGCAGATTTCTTGACAGAGGGACACTTCTAGGTCATGACAATATCAAAAATCAAATTTAATTATTTACACAATGTAGTTTGGCCTTTTGCTCAGTTGATTTACAGTGTTCTGGTCAAAAGGATAAAGGTCACAAGTGGATTTTTAAGCCCTATTTTCGTGAAGGAACTACCAGAAGAAACAGGATCCTTGTGGTATAGAACGGCTACTGTGAGTGTTTAGATAGATTTTACTGATGATTGATTACGTTTTCAGATGATAAAGGCCAGCAGTTTCAGAGATTCCATCTTTTCTCTCTAAAACTGATTTCACTGATGCCATATACTGGGTCATCATTTCCGGAATAATTTCAGTACCTTCACAGCCTTAGGCTTGTGTTTCTGGGTCAGGTCTCTCTGGCAGTTCAGGGAGATTTTACGCTGGGGCTTGGGGATAGGGCGGTTGAGGGGGGAGACGCCTCCTCTAGGCTGACGCTTGTTGGAGGATCGAACATGGGGAGGGAGGTAGTGGTAAGATCTGGGTGTCCCAGAGGGACGCGATCCTGGGGAAGGAGGGATTGTTAGTAGGTATGGGAAGGTGTAGAGAATCAGTTATCAAGTGGAGAGTGTGGAAGGGGATGAGGGCGATGAAAATAATTTAAATATAATCTTATTTTAATATTTAGACGAGATTGAAATTGGTAGATGCTGACTCAGTGACTGCAGTCGTTGTCAAACGACTTTCCAATATGGCTTACTTTTGCTTCATGGAAAAGAATAATGATTTTATCACACTTATAATCAAATCCTCATATCAGGTATGCATGTTCCAGCTGTGCTTTTTTCATGCAGATAATACATTTCGTCATCACGTATTGCTGGAATATTGCTAAACGGGGCATAGAACCATACTCACTCACTAATCACTTTCCCAAGGAATATGATTTTCACACAATATCTTACAGGTTATGGATACACCTTGTTGCAGTTTATGAGAGGGAAGTTCAGTGTAGCTATACTTAAAGGAGGTAAACTTCAGTAATGGATTAGGGCCTAACTAATTTAATGAACCAGTGTTTTTGGAAGAAATGCAAAACGTGCAAAACTTATCAGTGATCCTGTTAAATTAACACACAAGGAAACAATGATTAATTTGTTAATCATAGATCTATGTATCTTATGAAAAAAATACAGGTGCTATGGAAAAATCAAACATAAACAAACAAAAAATACATAAACCGCCAACACGAAAATGGTTAAGCCTACATCAGATCGTGAGTAATGGCACGTTTCCCCAACAGTCAACAGTTGATCAATGCGGACTTAGTGACTTCATTAAATTCATTTTAATATGAAATTAAACATTAATCAGAACCTATCAAATATAGTTTTCAGAAGACAACTATATATATATTCATGGCGAATTATAAAAGCTTTTGTTAAATCTTTAATTATCATAGTAGATACAAAATACATTATTAGCAGCATCAAACAAACATGTGTACCTTGCTGGAAATAATAACAGTAAGAAATAACGGGAAGAAGACTCACTGAGTTCTACGAACAATATTTATGATGTAGGTAAAACGAATTTCGGAATTATCCCCCGTTCGTAATATACTCAACATAATGTTCAGTACTGCATGTGCTGTGTCAGTATATCTACATATTGCTTAGTTTTTATATTCACCTCATTTGTCGATCAGAATATGGATCAAAATACTCAATGTATAAGCAAAGTTAAATAAACAGACCTAATTGAGTTAAATTCACAAACGGTGTATTGGTAGTTGGTTCCTTTAGTTTCAACCGCAAAATTTCAAATATCTAATACCTAGAACATGCATCATTCAAGTGTTGACTTTAAACTAAAAGTAAGGCTCGTTATTAACCATTAAGATTATTTACAACAAGGTATTGGGTTACAATAACTTTATACAAATTGAAAGAAAATCCTACGTTTTATCTCAAGGAATACTTAATTTGGAAGGTTCTCCGTGCGGAATTTCTAGGCCTAACTGGCTTTGGTTTTCATTTTAAGTTTATATATGCGGTAAATTTGACTTGATGAGACACGTTCATCCACTGAACATTCCGTCATCGTACAAACAAGATGGGCAAAAAGTATAAAACTTAGATCTACCCTCACTAATAAAATATGGAAAAGGATGACGTTTTTCCACGCCCGACCTAATAAATAGGTGGTGAATGAACACGACATAACTTAGTCTAACATTTGTTCGCTGGAAAGCACCAGCACCTCGAAACTATTATAGGCCTAACGGTAACCTTTAAATTGTTCGAAAGTTAACCAACTAATGTAAAATAAGGGGTAACCATAGTCCAGTTATCCTATATTAAGAAAGAAAGCGAATACCTCTCTCACGGGACTCGCTAAAAAAAGAGTGGTGGAACAATCAACTTCTCTACCATGTCTACAATTTCCTTCCATCGATTGTCATCAAAACAAACATTAACGGAAATACATTCGTTCGATTCTGGTTCCAAAATCTAAATCGTATTTAACATGTTTAATATGTATCAAGCAGGTAGATCTAGCGTGATTAGACTATCTGGTGAAACTAAGAATATTTGAATATGTAAATGTAGATCTAGATCTAAAGGATGATAAAAAAAATTAAAAAAAAAAAAAAACTTACCTGAGACAAGTCTCCGAGACATCAGGAAGAATTCAGCAGACAGCTCAGGAATATGTGGTCACAGCGTAGGATTTTTCGAGAGATTACTTCGATGTTTCTCTGACGAGATACAGTGAAGAAGAAGCCGTTGTGCGTCTGTTACGTAATTTATAGAGGATGTGCGGACGGTCGAGGAAGCGATTAGCAACGATATGTGGGTAACTAAGGGCAAGTCCACTTTTCTCATAAGATGGGGTGTAAGGTTGGGTCAGTCCAATTTATAAAATAACTGTCAAGTTCATTCGGTACCTCTCGTTTCTTTCCGTGATACGCGATTCGACTTGATCCGTCACCACTCGCCCCTTTCCGTAACTTACTTGTATGCATAGCATGATGGGTACTTATAGACGACTTACACACATCTTGGTTATACATAGAGGCTATTTTATGCATTTTGTAAAATGAGAAGCACAGATTCTATCCGCGGGAATCTGTGCACAAATATGATTCAAATCGTTCAAACATCACCTTACTTGAGCTTTATGCAAAATTTACAAATGTTAGTCGGATCCATGCATGTAGCAGAGTTTTCTTTAAGGTTTTATTGAAAGACATTATTTTTGTTTGTGTATTTTAAAACTTCCACCTATTCGTCAGGTCGCATGACTTGCAGCAAAATTTATTATGATGAATGAATTTTGCTAAAATGTCTTGCAGTCAGACAGGTCGAAACTTCTAAGTCATGGTTGAGCGTCAAGAAAGTTCTTCTGACATCAGGAATATGTTATCTCCAACTTAAACACAAAATCTACATTTTCACCTTTAAAAGAACTCTGTAGCCATGGATAATAGCCAGTTTTCGGCGATTAAAATATCCGCCGCCGCCACCGTAGCGTTACTATAGTGGCGGCGCCATTCTGCTTATTTAAACAAGGGACATAACTCCGCCTGTCTCATCTATTAGAGGTGTTTCAGCCGTTCACAGCATGAGCTCTGAAGTTCAATCCCTAAACGGAAATGTCTTTATAAATATCGAAATTATCTCTACATGCATGTCTTTCAAGTCAACATTCGAAAAATGAAAAAAAGACGTTCTGTTGTTTTTCATTTTGAAAGGAATCGAAATAAATTAGATAAATTAAAATGTTATGCAAGTTATCACAGCACTGAATATATATATATATATATTTGCCGTAAAAGGCGACTATGCTTGTCGTAAAAAGCGACTAACGGGATCGGGTGGTCAGGCACGCTGACTTGGTTGATACATGTCATCGATCCCAATTGCGTGGATCGATGCTCATGATGTCAATCACTGGATTGTCTGGGCCAGACTCGTTTATTTTACAGACCGCCGTCATATAGCTGGAATATTGCTGAGTGCGGTGTTAAACAACCAACCAACCAACCGTTCCTCCATACGCATATTTCGCGCCGCTGCTGTACAAAGAAACTCGCAGTTTTCTTATTATCTAGAAATATTTTACTAAAATAATACAGATTACAGAAGAATAAAAATTCACACCTTAAGCTGTGCCGGAATTCCTTGAGTCGTCAAACCTTAAGAGTGAACCTCATACAGGCAAAGAATCTACATTGAAACACATCATTCCAAATACATGTAGAAGGTATGTGTTTTATGCCTGCAACTAGTGTATTGTGACCAATACAAACATAGTGATTCAGAACTTACCGTTCTTCTATGACGTACACCACAATAAATGTAGTCATTGCACCAAGGTATTCAATAAACATCGCGGATGGATCGGCGATATGAAAGGACATTTGTGAAAAACGTGACAGGACATGGATGAGGAAAAGCGATTGACAGTGGTGTAAGCCGGTCCAGTCAGTGATCATGATACGCTGTCAGCCAGATGATGCCCTGGAGATCCCACCGCCTCCGTGGTCGAGTGGTAGAGTGTCTGCCCGGAGAGCGGAAGGTCGGAGTTCGATCCCCGACCGTGTCATACCAAAAGACGTTAAAAGATGGCACTTGTTGGTACCCTACCTGGCGCTCGGCCTTATTTGGCTGAACCAAGGACTGGTCGGCTCGGATTCAGTATACTGAGTGGGGTATTCATGTTAAACAACGGCATGGTATCTCAGTGAGCACTATAATATCGGCATTAGTTCGGACTAGTACAAGCAGTCTCTCGCTCTCTCTCTCGCTCTCTCAAACACACACACACACACACACACACACACACGCACGCACGCACACCCACGCACACGCAGACACACACACACACACGCAGCCACACGTACAAGCAGTCTCTTACAAACACGCAAGCACGTATAAGTGCAAAAATCTTGAACGCGACGTTAAACCCTATCACCCTGGAGATTCAGAAGTAAAGCTCAATAGTAGCGCTTGTTCCTCAGAGATCCGAGAATCAAATGACATAAAACATGGATGATTGCATGTCACCGAACCCCCTGGCGTGGAATATGTTCAGTGTCTGGTCCACACGCAAATATTTAAATGCCTTGGTATATGCTGGCCATGTCCCGATAGCAGCGTTAAACAGCATTGTATTCACTCACCCAACGAGAGACGTCATATTGATGAGGGCGACGTCAAGGGGTTATAGAGAAAATGACACCTTACAAAAAAAACTTCACAGATAATGACCCCAGACACAATGACACAAAAATAACAAAATCCATTTATTTTTTAGTTAGAAACTGCTCTTCACTGATCTTTGTGTCACGTGGTCACAAGTTCTCCATCTCAAAGACATTTTCCCTTTTGGTTGTATATGTCATTGTCTCAGGCCTCTCTTACAGCGGTTACTAATGCCTCACTTATTGTAATTGAACACCCCTTAACAAAATAACAATTTATAAATTGGACCTTTACTCCAAACTTAGGGGCTATGTTCACTAAAATGTGGGGCCATTTTTGCAAGGGGCCAATTTCCCCACGAAACGTTCAACCAGGCGACACTTGACAGGGGCCATCAATGGTGGTCCGTCGCCCGTCCAGGCGATGTCTTTACGCGGACGAGACACTGGCACAAATAAAGACGAGTGACGTTCCATGACATTTTCAATGTAGAATGCTCAGAATTGTTGAGGTGTAACGTCGATCGAAAAAAATATACATCGCAATCGCCCATGGCGAGATGGCTACACATCAATGTCAAGTGGAGTATCAATAGCTGGCATCGATACCCAGCTACGGTATCGATTGGCGTAATAAGCTGCTGAAACAAATAACGTATTCCGTTAGTTTTGTTCCACTCGCACCTTGCTTGAAGTTACAGTAAATATTCACCAAAGTAAACCAGTCATACGAGGGTAAACCGAAAAGTCCGCGACCTCACAAATACTGCTTTGTGTAATCAGGTTTCAATTGGTGTATGAAGAATATCATCTCGTGGAAGATACAACGTCAAGTTACAGGCTGATACCGGCATTTGTTTTCCGAGAAGTAGACTGGAGAATTTGGAGAAACGAGCTGTGATTAAGTACCTGCATTAAAAGCCATGTCACCAAACGAAATACACCAAGATACAAAATCCTGCTTTAGGGCTATTGCCCTCCATATTCAACAGTTCGGAAATGGTCTGGTATTTAGGAGACAGAAGTAGCACAGATGAGTGCATGTCTGGCCGTCCTACAGATCCTACGTCTGAAAGTCAAGTGGAGGCTGTCACCACATGGTCATGGCTGACAGACATATTACAATTAATTATATCACAGACACTTTGGGGATCAGTTGGGGGATCAGTTGGGGGTACATACAGTCCATCTAAACTAACAAATTCCACATGAGCAAGCAGTCCAAAAGTTGGATAACCAGAATGATGACACCAGCCAGAATGATGACAGCACCCAGCATGATGACACCACCCAGCATGATGACACCACTCAGCATGATGACAGCACCTAGCATGATGACACCACCCAGCATGATGACCATCCAGAATGATGACAGCACCCAGCATGATGACACCACTCAGCATGATGACACCACCCAGAATGATGACACCACTCAGCATGATGACACCACCCAGCATGATGACAGCACCCAGAATGATGACACCACCCAGCATGATGACACCACCCAGAATGATGACACCACTCAGCATGATGACACCACCCAGCATGATGACACCACCCAGCATGATCATAATTGGGTATCTGAGCCAGAAAAGCTTATCCTTGCATATCTAAGGGACTTAACTCTATACTTAGAAATTGAAGTTTTTCAAACCACTGGCCACCCCTTGTGATGGTACTGTTGGCAACTAATTGACACTGTGTCTTCGTCACAGCAGTAAATAGGTATCCAGTATACAAGAATGTGTTGGACAACTCCAAACACACACTGCACAGTTTACTGACCGGGGCCAATGAAGATCGCACTGTATCATCATATTGTACACAAAAGAAGAAAACAGGCTTTACAAGTTTTATTTACAAAATGATAATATGTTATATATGAGAGTCAAATCATATTAACATGACAATATATCAATATTATGCATTGATAAAATGTTTACACCATGCAACGTCCAACATTTCAGACATCAAACATCACTTTGTTGTATCTCAACAAACAAACAATGAGCATCAGAATGTACAACAATGTGACTGTATGAATGTGCACCAGTTGTGCTAGGGTCAGCACACACACATCTCCAGGACCATCCCAGGGCATCGCAGGTTGAGTATCATTATATCATAGAGGTTAGAGATAGGTCTTCAGTTATACAAGAAACCATTTATAACATTGGAATAACTGGAGTACAGGTGTTTAATTATGTTAATCCCTTTATCATCCTCTTTACTTTCATGAACAGTCTGTTTATCTTTGTGTACTGGGGACTTTGTTTGTTTTTTGTTTGTTGTTTTTTAAAACCAGACACAACAATGTTCCAGCTATATGACAGTGGTCTGTAAATAATCAAGTCTGATCCGACTATCCAGTGATTTATATCATAAGCATTGATCCACGCAATTGGGATACAATGACATGCATCACCCAAGTCAGCGAGCCTGACCACCCGATCCCGTAAGTCGCCTCTTACGACAAGCATAGTCGCCTTTTACGGCAAGCATGGGTTGGAGAAGACCTATTCTACCCCGGATATTCATGTGTGAGTGACTGTTTGTGAAGGCTTATGCTTAATACAGTTGGAGTGAGTGAGTTGGGTTTAACGCCGCTTTTAACAGTACCCGGTATTCCAGTTATATCGCGGCGTGTCAGCTTAATGTGGGAGGAAAGCCCGAAGTGATGCAGGTTTCAGACGTTTACCACTTCGGTAAAACCCACGAGCACAGGTATGGTGCTGACAAACCTAAAAACATAATCGGGGCCAACCGGGATTCGAACCCACAATCAAAGGTTTCTGCACAGGGAATCGCAGCGCCTTGGACGACTGGGCCACCCGTGCCCCCCTAATACAGTTGGAGATTTCCTTGTTTGAACTTCTGATAGTGTTATGAAAATGGAAGGTAATAAATTCTATTGTTTCTTATCAGTTTAATTAAAGGTGCCTGCTACAATTGACTTTGTTCAATGATTCAAACGGCCCTATATGTTAGCATCTAGAGAGCCTCACAGTTCACCTTATCAGCTTCCATGTGTACACGATTCAGTGTTGTGAATATGGTAAAGCCTTCACCTATAGTGCAAACCGCACCATCACCACACACAGCCTGTATGCTGTATTCAATGGAGGGAGGGAGTGAGTTGAAGTCAGAGAAATTAAGTCTGCTTTTTACAGTATTCAAGTTATATCACTGCGTGTCAGCTTAATGTGGGAGGAAAGCCTGAAGTGATGCAGGTCTCAGATGTTTACCACTTCAGTGAAACCCCAGAGCATGGTAGGGTGCTAACTGTATTTGTATTCTACAGATAATGCAGCAGGCAGACATTGGAGCGCTCCTTGTGTGTTATTGCCATGGTAACAACAGGCCACGGAGCCCCTGGAACAATATTCACACACATCTGTGTAAAGGGAACTAAACAAGAACAATCCTGGCATAAACTATAATCAGTGAGTGAGTGAGTGATTGAGTGAGTGAGTGAGTGAGTGATTGAGTGAGTGAGTGAGTGAATACAATCTCACTAAAATCAGACCTTTTGCTTTGATATGAAGATACGAGGTCACCTCCATAGGAACTTGGTCAGCCAATCAAGGCCTCTAACTTCTCAGTATAAAGCATTCAGACTGGCATAGCTGATTTCTGTTTCTCGAAATGGAACTAGAACGATGTTTCCAGAATATACATAATGGATGCTGCACATTAGTGTTGATATTTTAGACATCCTATTGTTTTTTAGCTTCTGCACTCAAAATGGTGAACTACATGTATCAAAGTCATAGTTCTAGGGCTGGGACGAGTCCAAATCTACTACCCGGGTACCCACCCCCCTATTACCCAACCCTACCTGGGTACCCAACCCCCTATTACTCGGCCCTACCCGAGTACCTGCTGTAGGTCTCATGAGACAGGTACAAAATGTCTCATTAGGAAAAGTCTGCCCTGGCAAAATGTATTTAGATACACGTATAACACGATCTGGTCATGCATTCACTGAAGTTTACTGCATGAAGTTTGATCTTTATTCCAATATATAAAATTGGGAAAGGAATGGGTGCACAGTCAGAAAGAAATGGGAACAATAGTGACTTGTAGTGTAACCACAGCGTTTTAGATACTTTTTGTCTTTAAACAATATATCACGTGACTAACCACGGGTCCGGGTAGTCCTGTGGGTACCTGGGTCCTACTCAGTACCCACCCGACCCGAGTACCCGAGTTACACGTCCCAGCCCTACATAGTTCTGTCCTGGATGGGTTTGCTTTTGTTAACTTGAAATTTACAAATCAAGGTGGCAAAGATATGAGGACAAATCATTTGAGAGAGCTGACATCTGTTTTGCTCAAGCGTCCACACATCTTTCAGTTACATTGCAACACAAGTTGAAGGTGTGACAGGATTCTCTTAAAGCAACCTTCTATACAGGTGACCTCAGATCTCAGAATGCAGAGAGGTATACTATTGGAGGTGAAACATCTGACGTTAATGAGATTGCGAGTGAATATTGCATAATGCTGCATCAACTATCTTGTGTTATTACTGAGTCATTATTTCTTTGTGTACAATTTGTTTGTTAAAATTCTTGAATAACATAAAAACTGACATTTAAGGTTATTACTTTTAGAAAAAGTATCTAAATATGTTGTCATGTGCGCAGTATTAGTTTAGCTTGTCTTGCTGTTTACCCTGTTGTAGCCTGTTGTCTTGCAGAACAATCTAGCCAGACCCCACACAGATACATACAGGTGTATAGCCAGACCCCACACAGATGAACAGCGACAACAGATCATTGTTCATTCAAATTTCTTTCTCAGCTCCGTGTAAAGTTGTACTAATGTCCACATGCTCACACACTATTCCACAGATATACACGTTATACTCCTGTCCACTCTGGGATATGCTAAGGTGATTCTTGATTTGGTCTACTGGATCGCTTGGTGGGTCACTTGCCTGGTTCTCCAATCAGAAACCTGCACAAAAGAGAAGCAAGAGTTATCTCCCTTCATAAAAACATCTCACTTGGTTTATTTGTTTGTTGTTTAACATCGCACTCAGTGATATTCAAGCGATATGACAGCGGTCACTAAATCATTTCATCTAGACTTGACAATCCAGTGATTGACATCATGAGCATTGTTCTCTGTAATTCGGATAAAATGACATACATCAACCAAATCAGCAAGTTGAGAGAAGAGAGGAGTATTCAATATATCCTGCTCAAAATAAGTGAGGGTTCATGAATATTTTTTTGAACATTTTTATGAAATAGTGTGCTCTGCCTTCACTACAAAAAAATTCATGATCCCTCACTCTCTGAGGCTTTTTTTTGTTAAGCGATGAGTTTTAAAAAAAATATATAATTCTTCTGCTATGGTGTTTCAGGTAACTTGTAATAGGTACCTGCTCGTGTGGTGCCCCAAGTGAGTGAGTGAGTTTTAACGGTTTAACGCCGCATTTAACAGTATTCCAGTCATATCACGGCGTGTCAGCTTAATGTGGGAGGAAAGCCCAAAGTGATGCAGGTCTCAGACGTTTACCACTTCGGTGAAACCCACGAGCACGGGTATGATGCTGACAAACCTAGAAACAAAATCGGGGTGAACCGGGATTCAAACCCACAATCATAGATTCTGCACAGCGAATCGCGGCGCCTTAGACGACTTGGCCACCCGTGCCCCCGGTGCCACAAGTGAGTCACATGTGGCATATAACAGTGATATATGTTGAAGACACAATAAGCAGGACGTTGCACATGATTCACGGCAGTTGGGTTCATATATGTACATGAGGCCTGAGATGGGTACAGACATACCGGTACGCAAGCAGTTTAAAATTAACTGGGTTAAGGGGATTTAGTTTGTATATTTTACACAAATTCACAGCTTAGCTGGAGCTCTTGCTTACTGAAAGCAGTTCCGCCCGGTGACCTCATTTGCATATTTATTGGATTATCACACCGCAGTTATCCCATTGACAACACTCCCCAATATACCGGGTATCAGTTGATTATTTATTGGCAAAACAATGCAACAGCTGAAAACATCTGTAAACAAACTGCCTACCAGTTTCCCCGTGTGACGACAGCTTGTCGTCTGACGAGTCTCTTCTTGTCGTCAAGTGTACTCTGCAGTGACTTTGTGACCTTTGACTTGAGGGTCAAGGTCACATGACTAGGCAGCACCGTCAGGCAGTTGAGGCACTGCAGAGCTGCTATTCTAACTCGCTGTTGAAAAAAATACTTTGTGAGAAAATACCTTTCAACTAAATCCCTAAAAACTTACAAAAATATTTTACATACTATCTAATCAGATCATAAAAAAGAAGTTTGAAAGAATTTATGATGGAATCAAAAGCAGCAAGACAAACCATGTAGAATAGAGGTAAGAGCATGGGTATGGTGCCTACAAACCTAAAATCACAATCGGGGCAGACCAGGTTACGATCCTACAAGAATAAGTTTCTGGCATGCCCAAGGAACACTACTCTGCACAGCGAACCGTGACGCCTTAGACAACTGGGCCTCCCGTGTCCCCAGATTATAGGTAAGAAATGACAACAACAACAGTGTGTGTCAATAAACCATGAACAGATTATGAAACATATACTACTCTGCTTTTAATAGTGATATTTTTTTATCTTCTCTGGATATGCCAAACTGATGCTCACAATATGTCAAGGGTATATTTAAATAGAATGATATATCTGATTATCCTTGCCAAAAGTTGAGTCATACATTTGCTGTTGTCATGGGCGTCATGGCATCATGTCATGTTGTCATGGGCTGTTGTTGTATTAACTGTATTTGTCTCTAAGTTTTCTGTGTACATTAGCTCTTTAGCTATGAGATGAGAAGTGCATGGGAAAGCAGGGAGATTAGGTTGAAAAATATAAAAAACACTTTCACAATTTGTTTTGTTTTTGTCAGTCTTAGAACTTTTGGACCAGTCCTTGAACAGCGTATCACAGTCATTGGCACATCTGTTCTACCCGCCCACCTCTCCATAAACACTCCATGGTGGCAGAACTCAGCCGGAAGTCGGAGTCCCCAACTTGCCATTGCCACTTACTTTACCTGTCAGACTTACCATGGAAGCGGAATTTGTTGTCAGTTTGAGAAGTTGAGGCACCAGCGTGTCTATATATTTGGTGATGATTTCAGGGGCATCACTTGTGAGCTCGGTGACCTTGGTCAAGGTTGAGGTCAGGAGGTCAGGCTCCGCACACGACAATGACTGCATCATGATTGGCATCAGCTAAACAGGGAGATTGACAGACGTTCAGCAATGTCATGAAATATTTAATTCAGTATTTATTTCCCCAGAGAGTACTGTTAAGGACACAATTTGTCAAGAATTCAGAGTGAGGGAGGAAAAATTAACTTTGTTTAAGCATCAGGCCATCGAGGGGTGTGCAGTATCACTGGTATACTGGTCTATTGCAATATGGCCTTCAGCAATACTCGTATCACAATGCAACCCTCGTGTACAGATATTTTCCAATACAGTCACAGAAGAATTAATATATCATTGTATAAATTATATCTACTATCTTGAGGCATTTGGATGGACTGGGTTCCATCTTAACCATACAAACAGCACACGCTTCAAGCTGTTCACATTAACATTCCATATTGACGAAAACATAGGAAGTCTTGTTTATCCATACCACCCATCTCTCAATCTAAGGCTGGATTATTGAATGAAGATGTACTATTTTAACCGTATAAATATATATAATTTGGGCCCATTGCATGTTGCAATATGTATCGCATATATGTACAGCTTTCCGTATTGCGATATGTTGCAATACGATTTAAGTGCCAGTACGCCGACCCTAATGACGTCTGTGAAAACTGCAACACAGTCAGGTCACAAAAGGTGAGTTTTCTCCAGTGGGCCATCTCTACAAGTACTCAACTGATTGAACAAGCTGATGGTCCAATCTCAAGAACATCAGATCCTAGAAATACTCCACATGAGATCGTGTCACGTTAACTTCCTAATCCATCAACCAGTGTCAAGGCTTCTAAACTCTTGGCACAATGGTGCAAAGCATTCAGAGCAGCATTTAATATTTTTGTATCTTGAAAAAAGACAGGCAGTTCTGAATGGAAACTAGTAATGGTTGCATTTTTTTGGGTAATATTTTGTTGCCGTTTTGTTGATAAATCACGTCATTTCTGACAGCTGTGGCATCTACAGCCAAAAGAGTTTACTAAAGTACTCACGGAAATGAAAAAACCCTGTTTTTTCGATCTCAGATTTTAAATAAATGCAGTTAATATACAAAATATATAAATATTCAAACAATGTTAGTACTAATTGGGCCTTGGCAAAAATACAGCGTATCAAAGGTTTTTATGTCTTTTTACACGTAAAAGTGTGTAAAAATATGAACAAAACAGACTATTGTGAAACTGAGCATAACCAGGTGTTAGAAGATCAAGGTGAATGTCCATGACCTATGACACCTTGACGACAGGTAAAAACAGGTGCTTGAAACCCACGTGCATGTGATTTGTCAGTGGTTAGTGATTTTGGAGTGGCATTGTGGGATAGTGAATCATCGTCAAAATATCAGAACGTAAAAGTAACATATTCCCTTCTTAAACAACAACTTACATGTCATTATTATTATGTACATTAACATAGCTGTTATTTTTATTGTTGTTTTGATAACTTTTTTCCATGCTATAATTGCCTATAGCCTGTTTCTGCCATGTCAGTTTGGACTTAGTTTTATTTTTGAAGGTTGAAAGTGCCTACAAATTACCTCATGTAAAGTACATTTTGTATTGAGCACTGAGCACTAGCAAATCCAACTAGTACTTTTCCAGTTGTTTTGTTATTTCGTATTTACATCTACGTAATGCTTTGTCTCGATTATTAAATCCAGCAAAACAGTTTTTTTCCATTTCCATGAGTACTTTAATAAAAGGTGTATTTGTGTTTTGTGTGAGTTTTCTTTGGCTAAGATTGAAGTGTCTGAATGGAGGTGGTTGTAACATGAAACTGAATTGTTTCAAGAAGCTGGAATCTGACTGATTCAAGAACGTGTCCATCCTTTAGTTAGATTGTGGTCAAAGTTCACAAAATACATTCAACAATTTGATTGAAAAATAAAGAGCCTTGCACCTCTTGCCCTTTTATAAAATTTGGACAAACATTGAAACATTTATTTATTGTAGCCTTGTGTAAGTGCAAACTTCCAATATGGCCCCTTCAACATGATGCCAGATAGATTAAATATCTCAGTGTTAATGTCTAACTATAAGGGAGAAGTACTTGGAAGCACTCACAGCCTTCACCTCGGCCAGCAGCACCTGTTTAGGCAGGAACCTCAGCAGGTGGGAGATGGCCATGAGGTAACAGGACTTCGCATCTGTAAACACAATGTTACTTCTCATCGTCAACAAAAACAGTTTACAAAAGTTCACATATTTTGAAGAGTGAGTGAGTATAGCTGCACTCTACTTTAAGCAGTATTCTCATTGCAGAGGGACACCAGAAATAGGTCGTCTACATTACAGGCTGGGTCTTTGGTGAGATGAGAAAACACTTTAACCCCACGGCTACCCCACCACCCTGAAGCTGTTCCTTGTTCAGTGCTGCTCTCAGCAATATTCCGGCTGTATGATGGTGATAGACAATGAAGATTTGGAATATATAAGTTGACATTAAATTGATGGTATACATGCTTTACAAATCTTGCAATCGACCGAAATCTGCACGGCAGTTTACGAACCCGGATGTCAATTTCATTTTTCATTGGACTATGCATAAGCTTGTTAGTCCTGTCAAAATATTACTCCATACATCGGCAAGGATTTAAACTGGATTTTTCTAGTCAGTTAACTCCATTGCCTCGGGAAGATCGAATTGGGGCATGTTAGACCAATGAGTGCCTCCTCTGTCCTGTATCATAACAGCCTAGAGATATCACGTGATACCACACCCCTTACCTTTACTGACAGACCTGAACTTGTCTGTAAGCACAGCTATATTCTGAATAAACAGCTTCTGTCTGTAGAATAGCTGGATAATGGCTGACATCTCGCAGGTCATCACATCGTCATGGTCAGACACAATCGTCAGGAAGCCGTTAGCAGCAGATACGCCAAGGTCAGGGTCGTCCAGGAGAGATATCAACTAAAATGATGAGTGAGTGAGTGAGTGAGTTTGGTTTAACGCTGCCTCGAACAGCCTTTCAGTTATATCACGGCCTGTTCGATATTTTCCACTTTAGCTAAACCCAATACATAGGCACGGTGCAGACAAACCGAGAATCATAAACTGGGATTTGAAGAAACAATCATAGGATTCTGTCATGCCAATGGAACACAACTCTGCACAGGGAATTGAAGCACCTTAGAAAACGGGTCAACCATGACACCTTAGGCTGTTGACAACAGGTTGCCTTGTCAAGGGAATTATTCCAAGGACCAGTTTTAATACATCAAACACTCCACCCTAGTAAATACCATCCACATGGTTTGAAAACAAATTTGATATATAATCCAAGCAATTTGAGATTTTAACCCATGATCAATGGTTTCTGGCTGCCTTAGGTACACGATGCTGGAATTAAAATGTGGTGCCTTATATATTAAATGATGAAGATTGTTTTAAGAATGTTTTGGAATAATAACCATTCGATCAAATTATCTCTGAGGGGAGTTTCTGACCTGAAAGATGGAGATGGTGATGGAACAGAATCCAGATCCAGAGTTTATATAATTGTAGCGGCCATAAAATTTCCAAGTCCCTTGATGGGATTCGAACCATGGACCTTCTGATCAGAGGCCGGACGCCTTGTCCACATGACCAAAGAGGTTAACCCCGTCAGCAAGCTGACAAGGTAAGGATGTCATCTGTGGGATGACTCCACGCCCTGCTACATACTTCCCTGTCAACAGAAGGCACGTCCCGGGCCGCATAGTAGGGTACTGAGGCTTATTTTGCTCAAATTTAATATGAACGAGCTCAGCCCCATTTTATGGGCGCCAATGTAGCGGCCATAAAATTTCCGAGTCCCGTGATGGGATTCGAACCACGGACCTTCTGATCAGAGGCCGGACGCCTTGTCCACACGACCAAGGAGGTTAACCCCATGCCCTGCTACATCATAATAGAACAGACATAAAGTAACTGGATAACCGAAGATACACAAGTTGGAAATGTTTCGTGAAACCACAACCATGGTTGTCAGGGCAAATGAAACCAAAGATCAGAGGATCCTGGCACAGGCAAGGGATGTAACTCAACCAGCTATGCGTTCCATTATTGGCCCTAGAGAAACATACCTTCTGGATGAAGATGTTGGCCTCAGAGTGTCCCCGCAGTACAAGTGCCTTCGAGAGCCACACCCAAATATTCAGGGCTTTTTCACGACTAGGATTGGGAGGTGAGAGTTCAAGGTCACAGGTCAGTACGTCTCGGGTCTTCTTTATGAAAGACTCAAGGCTGTCATCTACAAAACAGTAAAACAATACAGGATTCTTACGTGGTAAGTCAAGTGTGTGATGAGTCGTTTGAAACTCATGACAGTGAAATATTCCAAGTCCTGTGTAATGACTACAAACTCTCTTAGTTAGATAACTGTTGATAAACAACCTGGACTCTGAACTGTGAAGCCCCACTGGCATCAACTCTTCTCCCAGGTTCTGTCCTAACAGGTGGAAGGATGGAGCATATTATGAACCATGAAAAGGTAAAAACAAGTTGATTGTTGAAACAGCATTGGAACTAAAACTAAGTTGTCCCAAAACCTTTCTTTCCTAATTTGCAATCTTTTTCATGTAATTTGATTCTGCTAAGAGAAACATTATGCTTCCTTCCATTACATTCTTTCTCCAAAACCAAGACTTAGCACTACCAGGTGCGGTAAAATGGGGCTTAACGCTGCATGCATGAGTGTGTGGCTGCTTGTTCTAGTCAGGACTAATGCCGATTTTATAGCACTAGCCCACTGAGATCCCATGCAGTTTAACAGGAATACCCCACTCAGACACAGTATATACTCTGTGCCGATCAGTCCTTGTTTTAGCCCCTTATTGCTTAGTGCCAGACAGGGTAACAAGTACCATATTTTAACGTCTTTTGGAATGGTATGACGTGGCCAGGGGTTCAACCCCCCGACCTTAGACACTCTATCTAAGCACGGAGGCGGTCCCTAAGTTCTTAAAACTTGTGTTATGCTGAATTACATATTAGAATTTATGTGTAAAATACACTAAAGGACTACCATCACACACAGCTTAGTGACCTACCTACCACATACATACACCTACCCACAATGCCGTATCCTGCTGCATCTCAATAAAAATACAAAGTTTTCATTCCCTGATTACCAGTTTTTACTGAGAGAAATGGGAGTCAAGCCGTCTGCTACAGAAGGGGCTCCATTATTCAAGGAAGAGCATGTCCTGTGTCATGTGCTTAGCAACAGTTGGAAACAAGGGAATGTTGACAATCTTTACCTGTATAATCAGAGTTGGTCCATACACAAAAAAGATGAGAAACTAAGTTTCTCTGGAATGATAAAATAAGTTATCATACCTCCATGTCAGAATGACAACATTTGATTGGTTCACGTGACCTTGATTAAATACGATGCATCCCGCCTTGGAGGGAAACAAATTTCTCAGTGGGCGAATAAATCCCTTATACCCCGCCATGAGCAAGTCAGGGTGACATAGATTTCTGAGGTAGAAAAAAATCCCTTAAACCTTGCTTCAAAGCAAAAGGCCGCATGCTGAGTCTATGAAAGTCATGTGACATAGCACAAGCTGACCTCCGCTCAATCGAACAGCTGTTTTCAATCAATTTTGAATTTGTTTTAATTATTTTACAATGTCATATTAAAACATGTCGGTAAGATAAATTTGTTGCAGCAGGATCACTCGGGGTACATGGGGTTTAATGTGTCCTGTGTTAGGTTTTATACCACAAGCCTATTAAACCCCATGTTCCCCTGTGATCTTGCCACAACTTATATTGTTTTTCATGGTGTTTAGATTCACGAGGTGACTGACCTGCTGGGAGTTTGTTCACAAGGCCAGCACAACATTTGGTTGTGCAGATCTGCGTGAAGCTGTGCCCCGACTCGCGACACAGTTGCAGCAGGGACTGTAGCAGTGTCATCACCTCTGGGATCTGTGTCTGCCACACACAACACAGACATTGAAAATACACAGGGTGGGTCATCTATATCAGGTAACAGACAGACACAGTAGTTGAATACACAGGGGTGGGTCATCTACATCAGGTAACAGACAGACATTGTAGTTGAATACACAGGGGTGGGTCATCTATATCAGGTAACAGACAGACATTGTAGTTGAATACACAGGGGTGGGTCATCTATATCAGGTAACAGACAGACATTGTAGTTGAATACACAGGGGTGGGTCATCTATATCAGGTAACAGACAGACATTGTAGTTGAATACACAGGGGTGGGTCATCTATATCAGGTAGCAGACAGACATTGTAGTTGAATACACAGAGGTGGGTCATCTACATCAGGTAACAGACAGACATTGTAGTTGAATACACAGGGGTGGGTCATCTACATCAGGTAACAGATAGACATTGTAGTTGAATACACAGGGGTGGGTCATCTACATCAGGTAACAGACAGACATTGTAGTTGAATACACAGGGTGGGTCATCTATATCAGGTAGCAGACAGACATTGTAGTTGAATACACAGAGGTGGGTCATCTACATCAGGTAACAGACAGACATTGTAGTTGAATACACAGGGGTGGGTCATCTACATCAGGTAACAGATAGACATTGTAGTTGAATACACAGGGGTGGGTCATCTACATCAGGTAACAGACAGACATTGTAGTTGAATACACAGGGGTGGGTCATCTACATCAGGTAACAGACAGACATTGTAGTTGAATACACAGAGGTGGGTCATCTACATCAGGTAACAGACAGACATTGTAGTTGAATACACAGGGGTGGGTCATCTACATCAGGTAACAGACAGACATTGTAGTTGAATACACAGGGGTGGGTCATCTATATCAGGTAACAGACAGACATTGTAGTTGAATACACAGGGGTGGGTCATCTATATCAGGTAGCAGACAGACATTGTAGTTGAATACACAGGGGTGGGTCATCTATATCAGGTAACAGACAGACATTGTAGTTGAATACACAGGGGTGGGTCATCTATATCAGGTAACAGACAGACATTGCAGTTGAATACACAGGGGTGGGTCATCTACATCAGGTAGCAGACAGACATTGTAGTTGAATACACAGGGGTGGGTCATCTACATCAGGTAACAGACACTGTAGTTGAATACACAGGGATGGGTCATCTACATCAGGTAACAGACAGACACTGTAGTTGAATACACAGGGGTGGGTCATCTACATCAGGTAACAGACAGACATTGTAGTTGAATACACAGGGGTGGGTCATCTACATCAGGTAACAGACAGACATTGTAGTTGAATACACAGAGATGGGTCATCTACATCAGGTAGCAGACAGACATTGTAGTTGAATACACAGGGGTGGGTCATCTACATCAGGTAACAGACAGACATTGTAGTTGAATACACAGGGGTGGGTCATCTATATCAGGTAGCAGACAGACATTGCAGTTGAATACACAGGGATGGGTCATCTACATCAGGTAACAGACAGACATTGTAGTTGAATACACAGGGGTGGGTCATCTACATCAGGTAACAGACACTGTAGTTGAATACACAGGGATGGGTCATCTACATCAGGTAACAGACAGACATTGTAGTTGAATACACAGGGGTGGGTCATCTACATCAGGTAACAGACAGACATTGTAGTTGAATACACAGGGATGGGTCATCTACATCAGGTAGCAGACAGACATTGTAGTTGAATACACAGGGGTGGGTCATCTACATCAGGTAACAGACAGACATTGTAGTTGAATACACAGGGGTGGGTCATCTATATCAGGTAGCAGACAGACATTGTAGTTGAATACACAGGCAATCTCACCTGGGGGTTGTGGTATCAACAATATAAGAGCAATTCCAGACTTTCCTGAGGAGTTTTGCTCGTTTGATCTATCAAGTTTTTATATTAAATAGACACAAAGGGCGAGGTAGTAATTATTACTCAGATATCATTCTGAAGCATAACTTATGCCAATATAGTAGTACTTTACAGTTTTGTGTTAGAGATTAAGTTTGGTAAAGAAATATTGTACGGTTATCAAGAGTCAAAGGTGTTGCTGTGGAAACTTACAAAAGTATTTTTTCCAAAACTCCCAAATCATGAAAAGGTGCCATTTTATCACTAGACCTATCAATGTGCCAAGTGTGGTGAAGAAATATTGTACAGTTTTGAAGATCTGTTCAGGAAACAAGCTCCACTACCATTTTCAGACTAAGTCAAATTTGTTGCCCAAAACTTGAAAATATTTTCTAAAAGAAATCCCAAACTAAGGCACCAGTTCACCACGAGTCCTATCTATGTACCAAGTCTGGTGAAGAAACACTGCTCTGCTCCGGAAGCGTCATCTTGCAAGGATCAACACACAGTGTCCATTTTATAAAACATGCTGCAGAGGATGATAACAAAGGATAACTACACAAATAGAAATAGTTTCTCACTCTTGTTTTCTCAGTGAAAAGTTAACTATTTCATGACATATGTTTACCTAAATGAATAGATTATTCAAAACTAAAACAGGTGAAAAACACGTTAATTTGTCGAAAGGACTGAGTTAGATGTGACGAATCATCACATCTCGCTGGCCTCTGACAGAGGTACAAGCTTGACGACCAGGTACTCTGGGTAGGCAAGTGTGATGGTTCTGCATATTGAGACAGTGAAAGAGAGGTTGAAAAGCTCCCTACCTCCCTGGGTAGCGAGCACAACACTGCCATGAGTACAGCCACCAGCCGAGTCTGACCAGGAGGAGACGTGTGCTGGAAACAAGTTGGTCAGGTTAACAAGGCAGAAGATGTGATAGTTCATAATGAGTGTCAAAACATATTTGTAAATATCTAATGCTTTAAAATGAAAAGGAATCAAACTGACTTGAGGTTCTGTCATATGTCAGGAAACTTCTGTGTTAAAAATTGTCCACCAGTCAACCATGAGGGGTCTGGTGGACAAGGAATTTATCTTATTGCACACTTAATTATATTGCCGGTACATGCAGGCTGCTTACACATTTTTTAAATGAACCAGATGGTGATACAATTTTGGGGCTGTTCCTAATGTCTACAACACAAATCTTGCAACACAAACATCCCCTGACCTGCAGCGGTTTGAAGCTGTCAGATTTGATGTCTGCTCTTGGTATCACAGCCATGTTGCCCCGGACCAACAGTTCACACACGGTCTGCAACAGCTCCTCAGCTTTCCTTCAACACACAACACAGCAGGGGTGCAACGATTCACGTGACGCTCGGTGCATCGCTATACTGATTTACATGACGCTCAGTGCATCGCTATACTGATTCATGTGTTGCTCGGTGCATCGCTATACTGATTTACATGACACTCGGTGCATCGCTATACTGATTTACATGACGCTCGGTGCATCGCTATACTGATTCAGGTGTTGCTTGGTGCATCGCTATACTGATTCAGGTGTTGCTCGGTGCATCGCTATACTGATTTACATGACGCTCGGTGCATCGCTATACTGATTCATGTGTTGCTCGGTGCATCGCTATACTGATTTACATGACGCTCGGTGCATCGCTATACTGATTTACATGACGCTCGGTGCATCGCTATACTGATTCAGGTGTTGCTCGGTGCATCGCTATACTGATTCAGGTGTTGCTCGGTGCATCGCTATACTGATTCAGGTGTTGCTCGGTGCATCGCTATACTGATTTACATGACGCTCGGTGCATCGCTATACTGATTCATGTGTTGCTCGGTGCATCGCTATACTGATTTACATGACGCTCGGTGCATCGCTATACTGATTTACATGACGCTCGGTGCATCGCTATACTGATTCAGGTGTTGCTCGGTGCATCGCTATACTGATTCAGGTGTTGCTCGGTGCATCGCTATACTGATTCAGGTATTGCTCGGTGCATCGCTATACTGATTCAGGTGTTGCTCGGTGCATCGCTATACTGATTCAGGTGTTGCTCGGTGCATCGCTATACTGATTCAGGTGTTGCTCGGTGCATCGCTATACTGATTCAGGTGTTGCTCGGTGCATCGCTTTACTGATTCACGTGTTAAGTGGGATATGTTTATCGTACAATAAAACACTACAGAGAGAATAAACCATGCACCCCTCAGGGGTTTATTCTCCCAGCAGTGTTTTATTGTACAATAGCCCACTCCCACTCGTGTTTTGTTTGTTATACCAGACATCAATCCGCAAAGAGAATGGTAATAAAATGTAAAAGCCTAAAAATATTAACCCGTATTTAGATAATGATGACTCCCTGAACACAATCCAACCTCGGCAATGTCGGACAAGTCCATTTTATAAACTGGGGGTTAAGTTTGGTACTTCCTAGACATTCTCACAATTTTCATCTGTACCTTTTCTCCCAATACTGATTGTCGCACTTTTGGATGCAATTGTTCGGCCATTGCTTTTATCTGTGTTGCCTGGCTACATCTATGGGAAACAACTCACTAGACACTTCCCTCTCAAAAATAACGTCATTCAATTTGCGACGTCACCAAGTTGCGAGCATATGTTCGAATCTCCAGAAATGACTTCATGATAGAACAATGTTTAATTGTGAAACAAACAATGCTTTGTTCTTTATTGTTCTTTGCAATTTATCATATAGCTATCTTACACTGTATCTTACATTATACCACGACCAATTGCAAACCCTTGAGATACGTATATGTAACAAATTGTATTGGGATAAGCTGTAAACTGCCCTCTGGTGGAAGATTAGAATACTCACCTTCTGTCCAGGGAGCCAACTGTGTATCTGAAGACTTTGGCAAGCTCTGTCACAACCTCATCACTGACTCCCCCGCAGTCCCCATCTGAGCCGTCTGCTCCCCTACCGTCTGCTCCCTGACCGTCTGCTCCCTGACCGTCTGCTCCCTGGAGAAGCACCAAGAGCACCTGCTTCAGCACTGTCTCATACACATAGGCCACAATCTCCTGGTGGGATCGATGATCTCGGGCAAGAGCACTCAGACACTTGGCAGACACTAGGGACAGGTTGTCTGAAAAAAAATATAAAAAAATAGTCATTTGTATTGGGACATTTTGCTTCAGGCTGCAATCAGCAATATTCTACCTTTGTATGATGGTGGTCTGTAAATAGTGGGGTCTGGGTTTGACTAGGTTCAAAGCATCAGCAAAGACTAACACTGCACTGTAAGTGTACCGTATATGACCGCGTATAAGCCGAATTTTGAGGACCAGAAAAAAGATTATGTAGAAAGGGGTCGGCTTATCCACGGGATACACTTTCATGATAGTATTTTTCAGATCACACAAACAGACAGATCACAGGGTTTTACACGACATACAAATGTATAGAATGGATGCAGAAGATTTTGTTTGTTTATTTGTTTTGCAGCACTCAGCATTATTCCAACTATATGACGGCTGTCTGTAAATAATTAAGTCTAGACCAGACAACCCAGTGATTGACATCATGAGCATCGATCCACACAATAGGGATACGATGACATGCATCACCCAAGTCAGCGAGCCTGACCACCCGATCCCATTAGTCGCCTCTTATGGCAAGCATGGTTTGCTAAAGACCTTTTCTACCCCGGATCTTCGGTTGTACCAAATTATTCACCGCAAATATAAAGGTCTTGTAACTGAAGTAAGCACCAAATCTTCCTGTAAAGTACACAACACCATTTAACTACCTTAATCATTCAGAGTCCCTTGGACCCCCAGCTTTGTAAGTCAAGTAACAAACCTACTGACACCTTTGCCTATTGTATTCATGTATCATCTATCTCATAGAAACCTTGTGAGAGGTACGACTTACAAGCGAGACGTGCTCAGAGGTTACATTGGAATTGTGAGACCTAGGTCTTACAGTTGAAGGTTTGTCCTTTCAAAACCTGCTTTGATGTTTATCATTTGAATTGTAAAACCTAGGTTTACAAATAACTGGCCTTTTGACATGAATATATTGTTGATTTTTGATTGGTTAAAAGTCACTGGGTTTTTTCACATGAAAATTCCATGACATAATCAAACCTGCAACCTTGAATATTGTGTAAAGTTTTGTTTTGTTTTTCCACTGAACCACCGGGGCAGGCGATGAAAGGATGTTCAATTTTACATGTCATGACTTGAGCTGTGTGCATGCTGCATGTGGTCTTTCTCTTGCACGCTTTGTTTGAATTGTTACATACTGTGAAATACTGTATCTTTTCACTATAAGGTATCCCGATGATTTCTTATTTGTTTTTGGTATTTCTTGCATTTAGACAGTTTATAAGTTGTATAAAACACTGCTCCTTGGTTTTGGTTGACATTGTAAAACCTTGAGCTCACAGTTCTATATTTTCAACCAAAACCTCAGAGTCGTGTTTTATCCTTTACATAAAGCCATGAGATCACATGCTGTGACCACACAATCTTCAGTTGTCAGTCATCTTAATTCCAGCTCACTAACCAACTCACTTTAATGCTCTCACAACAAGCTTGGGAAATGGTAGCTTATTCTGCCACAAATGCCCAACAGGGAATTTTATATATGAGATTTTTTATTTTTTTGTTTAAAGTTCCTTGTTTGTAGGTGATTTTTGTTGTTGTAATTAATCAGATGAAGTTTTTGGTTGTCAAGAAAGTTATCTAGAAATTTGCTGTGGGTACAGCATGTTTTCTGCAGAAAAAAAGAAAAGGTGATCTTAACAATTCATTTCTTCCACGTTTCATTTTTCACAGGAATATGCATAAAGCAATTTACAGAAATGTAATATCATGCTCTGTGAGTTGACTGTGAGTGAGTGAGTGAGTATGGTTTTACGCCGCTTTTAGCAATATTCCAGCAATATCACGGCGGGGGACACCAGAAATGGGCTTCACACATTGTACCCATGTCGGGAATCGAACCCGGGTCTTCGGCGTGACAAGCGAACACTTTAACCACTAGGCTACCCGACCGCCCCGAGTTGACTGTGAGTTGACTGTGGGGAGAAACACTGACGTGATGCATTTCTTGTTTGTCAGATTGGTGATCCAGTCAGCACTGGTATGGTGATGACAAACCAAGAAACAGAATCAATACGAAACTGGGATTTGAACCCATGCTTAAAGGATGCTGGCATGCCTTAGAGAATCAGCTCTCCACACAAACTGCTGCACCTCGTCTGAGCCACCCTTAGGAACGAACTGCTGTGACTTACCAGTCGGACTTGTGAGGAAGCGCATGATCTCCATAGCAACGACCTGCACGACACTGATGTGTGTAGCCAGCGACGTCAGTGTTGTCAGAAGGTACTCCTTGGTCGGTACAAATGTACAGGGAGCGTTGGTCTCCATGGGCTCTGCAACATGTCCATATCGTCCAGTATACCTACATTCACAAACACTAATCCCTGCGGCCTTTGCCTCACTCTGTTGTTTAACATGCTCAAAACTGACTTCAACAGACTTCAACTTTGTGTTCATGAAGGTATAAACGTAAAAATCAGTGTGCACACTTCGCATAAATCCACAAATTGTCTAATTAAGGGATAAACACAAAGAATCTATCATTAATAAAAGTGGTTTAACTAACAATTCGGTTTTCTTATCACCAGGTGAAACAGGGTTTAATGCCAAGTCATGATTATTGCACTTACCATTTTGCAAATGTGAGATTATTTGCGGCAGCATCTTATTTTTCATGACTTCCACATTAAGACAAGTGATGGTCTGGAGAGTGGAGACACATTCAGCTCTGAAACAGAAAATAAACAGAAAATATAGAAAACAATCACAGTGGAACATGCAGCAGCATCATGATGCTGACAACTTGTGTATGGCATCAATGTGTATGGCATCATTGTGTATGGCATCAATGCTGCATTTAGTTTGATGATGAGTAACCACAATTTTGAATATTGTAACGTATAGTTGCACATAACATTAGTTCAAAATGCCTACCATAAATGACCGAGATAGAAGTATACTTCTATGAATAGAAGCTTCTGAGGTGAGTCTGTTACTGTGATTTGAAACCTCTGACTGACCACTCTGAATTGAATATTTCCAAAGTCCTGGTAAAATCGGTAATCTCATATTATCCCCTAAGAGACCAATACATTGTTTGTCTGTTTGTTGTTTTAACACAGTACTTGAGCTATATGATGGCTGTCTGTAAAATAGTCAAGTCTAGGCCAGACAATGCAGTGATTGATGTTATGAGCACCCTCCCATGCTGTGTTGGTACGTTGACACACGTTCAATCAAGTCACTGAGTCTGACCCCCGATCCATTAAGTTGCATCTCATCGCCAGCATGGTGACCTGTTCTAATATTGAACCTTCCCAGGTGGTGCTACACACTGGATGCTGTACAGGACACCTAGCTTCTCTCACCTGATGCTGGTGTCAGAGTCTGACAGGAGGTGTTTGACCACCTGGTGTCCCAACTGCACCACCTCATCTCCACTCAGAACCCCCGTCAGGGACAGCAGCATCCTCTGCATCTGCACTGCTGACAACCTCAGCGACGGGGAGGAATCCTCAACAGCAGCAGCCAGTACTTCAACTACAGGAGCCTTGAACTCCATCAGTGGGCTGGGAGCTGGGACACAGACACGGATGATTAGAGACCTAATCATCAAAGTCGTAGTAGCTAATCATCACTATGGGGTGGAGATAATGCTGATAAGACGTCAAACTTTTAACTGACTACTTCAATACCCAAGGTTCGTACAATACTTCAGCCACAAAATTATTGTCACCTCTTACAACAAGCATGGGGTACTGGGGACCTAGTCAGCTCTTACAACAAGCATGAGGTACTGGGGACCTAGACAGCTCTTACAACAAGCATGAGGTACTGGGGACCTAGTCAACTCTTACAACAAGCATGAGGTACTGGGGACCTAGACAGCTCTTACAACAAGCATGAGGTACTGGGGGTCTAGTCAACTCTTACAACAAGCATGGGGTACTGGGGACCTAGACAGCTCTTACAACAAGCATGAGGTACTGGGGATCTAGTCAACTCTTACAACAAGCATGGGGTACTGGGGACCTAGACAGCTCTTACAACAAGCATGGAGTACTGGGGGCCTAGTCAACTCTTACAACAAGCATGGAGTACTGGGGGCCTAGTCAACTCTTACAACAAGCATGAGGTACTGGGGGTCTAGTCAACTCTTACAACAAGCATGGGGTACTGGGGACCTAGACAGCTCTTACAACAAGCATGAGGTACTGGGGACCTAGACAGCTCTTACAACAAGCATGAGGTACTGGGGACCTAGACAGCTCTTACAACAAGCATGAGGTACTGGGGACCTAGTCAACTCTTACAACAAGCATGAGGTACTGGGGGTCTAGTCAACTCTTACAACAAGCATGGGGTACTGGGGACCTAGACAGCTCTTACAACAAGCATGAGGTACTGGGGACCTAGACAGCTCTTACAACAAGCATGAGGTACTGGGGACCTAGACAGCTCTTACAACAAGCATGAGGTACTGGGGGTCTAGTCAGCTAATTAAACAAGAATGGGGTACTGGGGACCTAGACAGCTCTTACAACAAGCATGGAGTACTGGGGGCCTAGTCAACTCTTACAACAAGCATGAGGTACTGGGGGTCTAGTCAACTCTTACAACAAGCATGGGGTGCTGGGGACCTAGTCAACTCTTACAACAAGCATGAGGTACTGGGGGTCTAGTCAACTCTTACAACAAGCATGGGGTACTGGGGACCTAGACAGCTCTTACAACAAGCATGGAGTACTGGGGGCCTAGTCAACTCTTACAACAAGCATGGGGTACTGGGGGCCTAGTCAACTCTTACAACAAGCATGGGGTACTGGGGGCCTAGTCAACTCTTACAACAAGCATGGGGTACTGGGGACCTAGACAGCTCTTACAACAAGCATGGAGTACTGGGGGCCTAGTCAACTCTTACAACAAGCATGGGGTACTGGGGGCCTAGTCAACTCTTACAAGCATGAGGTACTGGGGACCTAGTCAGCTCTTACAACAAGCATGAGGTACTGGGGATCTAGTCAGCTCATACAACAAGCATGAGGTACTGGGGACCTAGTCAGCTCTTACAACAAGCATGGGGTACTGGGGGTCTAGTCAACTCTTACAACAAGCATGGAGTACTGGGGGCCTAGTCAACTCTTACAACAAGCATGGAGTACTGGGGGCCTAGTCAACTCTTACAACAAGCATGGGGTACTGGGGGTCTAGTCAACTCTTACAACAAGCATGGGGTACTGGGGACCTAGACAGCTCTTACAACAAGCATGGAGTACTGGGGGCCTAGTCAACTCTTACAACAAGCATGGGGTACTGGGGGCCTAGTCAACTCTTACAAGCATGAGGTACTGGGGACCTAGTCAGCTCTTACAACAAGCATGAGGTACTGGGGACCTAGACAGCTCTTACAACAAGCATGGAGTACTGGGGGCCTAGTCAACTCTTACAACAAGCATGAGGTACTGGGGGTCTAGTCAACTCTTACAACAAGCATGAGGTACTGGGGACCTAGTCAACTCTTACAACAAGCATGGGGTACTGGGGGCCTAGTCAACTCTTACAACAAGCATGGGGTACTGGGGGCCTAGTCAACTCTTACAACAAGCATGGGGTACTGGGGGCCTAGTCAACTCTTACAACAAGCATGGGGTACTGGGGACCTAGACAGCTCTTACAACAAGCATGGAGTACTGGGGGCCTAGTCAACTCTTACAACAAGCATGGGGTACTGGGGGCCTAGTCAACTCTTACAAGCATGAGGTACTGGGGACCTAGTCAGCTCTTACAACAAGCATGAGGTACTGGGGATCTAGTCAGCTCATACAACAAGCATGAGGTACTGGGGACCTAGTCAGCTCTTACAACAAGCATGGGGTACTGGGGGTCTAGTCAACTCTTACAACAAGCATGGAGTACTGGGGGCCTAGTCAACTCTTACAACAAGCATGGAGTACTGGGGGCCTAGTCAACTCTTACAACAAGCATGGGGTACTGGGGGTCTAGTCAACTCTTACAACAAGCATGGGGTACTGGGGACCTAGACAGCTCTTACAACAAGCATGGAGTACTGGGGGCCTAGTCAACTCTTACAACAAGCATGGGGTACTGGGGGCCTAGTCAACTCTTACAAGCATGAGGTACTGGGGACCTAGTCAGCTCTTACAACAAGCATGAGGTACTGGGGACCTAGACAGCTCTTACAACAAGCATGGAGTACTGGGGGCCTAGTCAACTCTTACAACAAGCATGAGGTACTGGGGGTCTAGTCAACTCTTACAACAAGCATGAGGTACTGGGGACCTAGTCAACTCTTACAACAAGCATGGGGTACTGGGGGCCTAGTCAACTCTTACAACAAGCATGGAGTACTGGGGGCCTAGTCAACTCTTACAACAAGCATGAGGTACTGGGGGTCTAGTCAACTCTTACAACAAGCATGGGGTACTGGGGACCTAGACAGCTCTTACAACAAGCATGGGGTACTGGGGGTCTAGTCAACTCTTACAACAAGCATGGGGTACTGGGGGCCTAGTCAACTCTTACAACAAGCATGGGGTACTGGGGGCCTAGTCAACTCTTACAACAAGCATGGAGTACTGGGGGTCTAGTCAACTCTTACAACAAGCATGGGGTACTGGGGGTCTAGTCAACTCTTACAACAAGCATGGGGTACTGGGGGTCTAGTCAACTCTTACAACAAGCATGGGGTACTGGGGGCCTAGTCAACTCTTACAACAAGCATGAGGTACTGGGGATCTAGACAGCTCTTACAACAAGCATGAGGTACTGAGGACCTAGTCAACTCTTACAACAAGCATGGGGTACTGGGGGCCTAGTCAGACCCTGGTAGGATAGTGCAGCATGAAAATGAGAGTCACATCTGAGCAATTCTGCCTCGAGGCTATGAGCGTCTCGAATGCATCATTAATAACCTTAAAACTTAAACACCCTGTCCCAAACATTCGAAGGGAGATATCACAGGAAAACTGTTTTGTATGTTTGATATGGATGAGTAAATCTTCAGAATGCCAGGTTACCTTCATCAGTGTAGGTGAACGATCCACTGGCCTCCAGGAAACCCTTCAGATTATCCAGGATAACCCTTCTCTGATTATTCTAAAAAGTAGGAACATAAGGCATCAAAATACAAGCAAGGTTATATCCTGAAAAAACAAAAATCAATGTGGCCAATCAATGTGACCAATCAAATTAAGGAATCACAGTTAATCACAGTAACCTACTCCTCACTGTGTGACACAGTGACCTACCTGGTTGTGTGTGACACAGTGACCTACCTGGTCGTGTGTGTCACAGTGACCTACCTGGTCGTGTGTGACACAGTGACCTACCTGGTTGTGTGTGACACAGTGACCTACCTGGTTGTGTGTGACACAGTGACCTACCTGGTTGTGTGTGACACAGTGACCTACCTGGTTGTGTGTGTCACAGTGACCTACCTGGTTGTGTGTGTCACAGTGACCTACCTGGTTGTGTGTGTCACAGTGACCTACCTGGTTGTGAGTGGCGTACTGCTCCAGCAGTGTTGGAATGACGGTTGTCAGCACTGTCCAGCATGCAGGGTCAGATGCCTGTGCCACGGACTGAAGCAGCTTACAAGTGGGCGAGATCAGGCGAAGATCGGGCTCTAGCAAGTACCGCTTACACTCTGGGAATATAAGGAATTAATATGGCATCTTATGAACGCTGTAATGACTGTCTGTTCAGTTTCTACATTAGATACTATCTGTATTATTTTTATATTTAGGGCTTCATCGCTAAACTGCAAGAGCCCTATTGTAATTGTTTGAATTATTATTATTGTTATTCAGACGTTTTTTGCATCATTCACAACTTCCAGAACCTGTGCCGACTGTTAGTCAAAACGGTCCAGTGAAATATCAGATTATTAGTTGGTTGGTTGGTTTGTTGTTTTATGCCGCACTCAGCAATTTTCCAGCTATATGACGGCGGTCTGTAAATAATCAAGTCTGAACCAGACAATCCAGTGCTTGATATCATGAGCATCGATCCACACAAGTAGGACCATAACATACACGTGTACACTTTATTTCTGAAGTGGATACAACTGCCCTGAAACTATAATACTTTGTGGTACGATTTCCAACAGCTATATTTAAAATTTTTACTTGGTATTTTACACCCCTCTCAGGACTATTCCAGCAATATCATGGTAGCTTGTTATAATCAGTCTGGGCCAGACAAGCCAGTGATTTACAATGAGAATATTCCATGAGGCAATCAACTCGGTCACTGAGTGATCAACAAGTTAGTTGCCTCTCAGGACAACCCTCAAATGGTGGCCTGTTCTAATCTGGCGCATATCACAAAAACCACACTCTCAATAACAGTGATGAAACAGAGCTTTGGGTAATGTGTCCATGTTGATCTGAGGCCATTAATTTTCTACAACTAAGAAACATATTTCATATTGTGCTGGTTTACTGGAGTATGATCGTTTTGAACCGTGCAAGTTAAAATTGTGTAAATGCTGGAGAACGATTCAAAGCATTCCCACTGCAGTAATACCAAATTGATTTGTAATAAAATGTGTTTTTGAGGGTAAAAATATTTTCTATACTTATCCTGACTTATGCTTATTGCGTATCTCTACTCATTTCCAAAAGGTAGTACATTTTCCTGAACTGTGTTCCCGGAGAACAGAGAAAACATCTCACCCAAATGGGCCTCTGGACCTCGCATACGCACCGGAGACACGTGACTATGCCCACTTACTCGTCACTCTCTCATTTTCATGCCAACTGGGGGGTTGGGGAAGAATTTCCTGAGCCTGAATTTCTGATCCATCCTATCAATATTAACCATGTTCCATTACATTTTTTGCTCGGATTACATTCTTCAAACCTTCTAGTATCATATCTAAGGATTATATTTTACATCTGGCTTAAATTTGGGAGAAGAAGATGGACCATAAGAGGAGAGAATCTGGGTTATCCACAGAGCTGACTAAGGAACAGAAAATTGACACATTGCCTGTATCCTCTTGAGAGAAAGATAGGGGCAGTATTTCCTTCTCCACCTTCTTTACAGATTATCCCTGCGGTGGCTTACCTGGGCAGCAGAAACGTTGACACCCCTGTAAAGGGCCCAACCAGACTGAAGAAGAAATCGTCTGGGGCTGCCTGCATCACAAAGAAGAATCTACAATCGATGGCGAAGAAAAAGAATACATCTTCTACTTGATCGAAGTCCAAGCCGATGAAGAGTCAACATGTCAATGCTAACATGAACATCACGAAGCTGACTGCTGCAGCTGAGAAGGGGTTACAAAGTCTACATGGAAGATGCAGAAGGAGTGGGTTCACAGCTATCTCCCAATACGCAGCAGACAACATGTTCATGCAGGCCTCAGCCTTTGAGCAGCCTCCAGCCTGCACACAGCCCCCAGGGTTCACGCAGACCTCAGCCCTTTCGCAGCCTCGCAGCCTCGCAGCCTCAAGTTTTGTTTGCAATGGGACAACATCAGACATCAGCTGTGGATTCCAATCAGCATACGCTAACTTCATCCTGCTCGGAAGACTTCACATACCTCCAGCTGTTGATCTACAGCTCTGAACGCTATGCTTCATTTTTGTTACAGGACGTGTTCGAGCCACCTTTTGATGAAGAATCACAATCTACTGTGCATACCTCCGTTTATCTGGGTCATGAATTGCTTGCCTGGAATGCAGATAGATTACCTTCCTCGTCACCATCTAGAGAGTCATCACCGGCAGATACTTCTTGTATAAAAGGAGAAGAGATTGACACTCCACAATCAAACCTGTCTCTCAAGTCGCCAAGAATCTTGATACATCGTTCACCAAGCCACTAGATCAAAAGTGCTACCAACTCCAGGATTTAACATAAAGAAATACCCATTACACAATATGTCACCCCTTCCTTGGGCGCCGACAGGACCTCATGACATACATGATTCGACATAAGCAATAAGTATGAGTCAGGATAAGATAAAAATATAGCGAGATGTTCCTAATTTTCCAAGGTCATTGTCAGTAATTTTCCTTTGCCTCAAATGACAGTGGATATCACAGAACAAGGAATTCCCCACAGAATTGAAAACCTTGAAGTGTATTTGAGTGCATGACATGTTTTGAACTTTATTCGACTTCATCGTGAGGTTTGAAGAGAAGGGACATATTTGTCCCTGTGGCATCCTGGGGGTAAATGCGAATATGTAAATAAGTGTATAACAAATCCTTGAGTGAAAAATAAAGGTTAATGTATTGTACTGCCTGATCCCAAAGACTGGAGAGACAAGAGAGAAATATTCAACTCGGGTAAAAAAATGTAAACATAACTTTTCGAGGTTTGTTGAAAAATGACTGGGTCATGTGAGCAGCAAATAAACCAATCATATCACCAGAAATCCCCTAAACTTCAAAATAAGAATGTATATGTCTGGGCAATCGTCCACACCTCAGTGTTCACGCAACTGTTTACAGGATCCAGCATACCTTTGAATATTTCTTGCAGAAATTCAGACATGTATGTTTTGGACACCCTCTGCAATATAATATAAAGACACTTGTCAGCAAAAACACTCCATTGACAAAGCAAAAAGTAACATTTCTGAAGAATATACATTCAGTAGCATGTGACAATGTTTTCACTAACCTCAGTGACACCCTGTGACAATGTTTTCACTAACCTGTCTGTCCTCCTGTGACAATGTTTTCACTAACCTGTCTGTCCCCCTGTGACAATGTTTTCACTAACCTGTGTGGCCCCAAGTGTGACAATACTTTCACTAACTTCAGTGACACCCTGTGACAATGTTTTCACTAACCTGTCTGTCCCCCTGTGACAATGTTTTCACTAACCTGTGTGGCCCCAAGTGTGACAATGTTTTCACTAACCTGTCTGTCCTCCTGTGACAATGTTTTCACTAACCTGTCTGTCCCCCTGTGACAATGTTTTCACTAACCTGTGTGGCCCCAAGTGTGACAATACTTTCACTAACTTCAGTGACACCCTGTGACAATGTTTTCATTAACCTGTCTGTCCCCCTGTGACAATGTTTTCACTAACCTGTGTGGCCCCAAGTGTGACAATGCTTACACTAACTTCAGTGACACCCTGTGACAATGTTTTCACTAACCTGTCTGTCCTCCTGTGACAATGTTTTCACTAACCTGTCTGTCCCCCTATGACAATGTTTTCACTAACCTGTGTGGCCCCAAGTGTGACAATACTTTCACTAACTTCAGTGACACCCTGTGACAATGTTTTCACTAACCTGTCTGTCCCCCTGTGACAATGTTTCCACTAACCTCGGTGACACCCTGTGACAATGTTTTCACTAACCTCAATGACACACCCATGAAAATTTTTCACTAACCTGAGTGACTCCTAGTGACAATGTTTTCCATAACCTCAGTGACATCCCTTTGACAATGTTTTCACTAACCTCAGTGACTCCCTGAGACAATAATTTCACTAACCTGTGTGTCCCCCCGTGGCGATGTTTTCACTAACCTGTGTGAACCCGTGACAATGTTTTCACTAACATCAGTGACTCCCTGTGACAATAATTTCACTAACCTGTGTGTCCCCCCGTGACGATGTTTTCACTAACCTGTGTGAACCCGTGACAATGTTTTCACTAACCTCAGTGACCCCCTGTGACAATGTTTTCACTAACCTCAGTGACTCCTAGTGACAATGTTTTCACTAACCTCAGTGACCCCCTGTGACAATGTTTTCACTATCCTCAGTGACTCCTAGTGACAATGTTTTCACTAACCTCAGTGACTCCTAGTGACAATGTTTTCACTAACCTCAGTGACCACCTGTGACAATGTTTTCACTAACCTCAGTGACTCCTAGTGACAATGTTTTCACTATGGCTGTGAGGGCAGACAGCGCTGCCTTGATGAGTTCTTCAGAGTCACCAGAGAACACCTGCAACACACAGGAGTACAGGAGGGCCGCCCCTGTTATATCTCAAACAGCAAAGTACACAAATAGAAAACAAATAAGAACAAACAAGCACATTTTAACCTGAACAAAAGTCTTAGTTTTGCTTGAACAAGGAAAGACAATTTGGACATTTGTTAGCCATCATCCAGGAAAATAAGGCTAGATATTTCAATCATGTAGTATTGTCTACTAATTATGGTACCTCACCTCTCTCTTGATACACGACAACAGAGTCCCTGTGAACTCATTGACGCACTCTGTCCCATACACATCACAGCACACGGCCTACAACAGCAACAGCAAGTTAGAGTCAGTGACCGCTGTGGTGTGAGTAGAGGCTTAGGCTGTTGTCAGCATTGCTGCTGTAACATGACAACACTTTGGAAATGCATATTCAATTTTTGCAATATTTGGCAAAATGGGCACAAAAATCAAATGACTTTATTTTGTGTATTAAACATGTTAAGCCAGGAGGTAATCAAACACAACAATGTTGTCGTTGAGGTCCGAATCTCTTTCGATGTGTTTCAAGATGGACTTGAGCACAAAACACACATTATGGCTGATGAAAACCTGATCAAGCATGTTCTTTGTGTGTCAGTATGTTGAACGTTGCTCTAGCCACAGTCAGCTATGTTCCAGGTGTCACAATGATGTGTGAACATACATGAGTCTGGGTCAAGGAAACCAGGTGATGATAGCATGATCAACATCCAGGGTGAGGTAGGGTGAGGTGAGGTGAGGTGGGGTGAGGTGAGGTGAAATGAAATGAGTTGAGGTGAGGTAGAGTGAGGTGAGGTGAGGTGAGGTGAGGTGAAATGAGTTGAGGTGAGGTAGAGTGAGGTGAGGTGTGGTGATGTAGAGTTTGGTGAGGTGAGGTGAAATAAGTTGAGGTGAGGTAGAGTGAGGTGTGGTGAGGTGTGGTAGAGTGAGGTGAGGTGAGGTGAAATGAGTTGAGGTGAGGTAGTGAGTGAGTGAGTATGGTTTTACGCCACTTTTAGCAATATTCCAGCAATATCACGGCGGGGGACACCAGAAATGGGCTTCACATATTATACCCATGTCGGGAATCGAACCCGGGTCTTCGGCGTGACGAGCGAACGCTTTAACCACTAGGCTACCCGACCGCCCGAGGTGAGGTAGAGTGAGGTGAGGTGAGGTAGAGTGAGGTGAGGTGAGGTGAGATGAGATGAGGTGAAATGAGTTGAGGTGAGTTGAGGAGAGTTGAAGTGAGGTGAGTCAAGTCAGGGTGAAATGGGGTTAACATTGCGCTCAAGATTGTTGCACTTACATAGTGACGTGCATGCACGTGTGGGTGGGTGTTTTTTTACACTAGAACAGACAAATGAGGGCTTAATAATGCTAGCCCACAAGGACACAGTATACTGACTCCAAACCAACCAGTCCTTATTCATCCTCCTAATGCTCAGCACTAGGCAGGGTAACAACAAGTACTACATTTCAACATCTTTTGGTATGACGCATCCAGTGGTGAATACCAGTGTCCGAAATAACTGAAAATGGCTGCTAACTTTTCTGTCAGGCTGCGTGAAATTTTACTCCACATGCCCGACTGTCTGGCAGATAATTTTAAGACTACTTACATATTCATTTTTATCAGTACTCATCATAGATTCTCAAGTAATTGTTTGCATTATTTCAACTGAATCAAGACGCAATTTATCTCTTATTTCTTGCAATTTGTCAGTATTTATAATGTCTGAATGTGGCCAGATAACTTTGAAGATGGTCAGGCAACATTTATGGGTCACCTGCCTGACTGTCTTGTTGGATTTTAAAATTATTTCAAACACTGGTAGTACATTCTTATTTCCAGGACTTCATAAACATTTCAACAAGGTAATAACAGAAAAATGTGAATGAGTTTTACTTACAAGGGTCTCTAGTGAATCAATTTTGGCACTCTGAATGTCGGAGGAGATTTTCTCTATGAGGAGTGGCAGACAGTACTGTCCGAACTTGGGGGAGGCTGTCATACAGCCACGGAGTGCGCTGATCAGATCCCCCCGGGTAATACCGCCTGGGTCTTTTGCAGACTGAAATACATTTTTAGCCTATACTGTTAATAACATATCAAAAAGAAAATCCTTGGGGTTAAATAAAGCAAATTATAAAATACTGGTATCTCATTTGCTTTCAAAGATTTAAGAATTGACCTTCACTTTGTGTGAGTTCATTGGAGTATGAACCTTCATAGAGTGAGGGCCAAATTGTATGAACATCGGAGTTTGGCCCTGCATTTTTTCGTTTGTTCATTAGGATGTGCCGTAGCGAGAAAATTCGTGAACAATCATGCAGTCAAGCTCTCTTACGTTTCCCAATGTATACTGAAATGCTGAGACCAAGATTAAAGGTTCTAAATGATCAGAAATAATGCTTATACATATGTTTTCGTGCTAGGGAATTCCCAGGGGTTTCCCCAGGAATGTGGAAGTAGTCCGTCAGTGTTTACGTCATTTCAAGAACACAGTTTCGTAAAAAACGTATCAACGTCAAATTGTGTCGTTCATACATTTATGAACGTCAATTTCGCGGTCATGTGACCGACCTCTCATCCAATGGAAAAGCTGTATATCATGTAAACGTCAAATTAAAAAATTATAATAATGTGAACAGTTTGTGTCCTGTAAAACTCTGTCTAACAATAACAAACACAATCAGCTATGCATGCTGGTATACCTTTTCTTAGCAAAGAGTATGGAATGGACAAGTTTATTAATTGGTCATTCATTTAATAAACAATAATAACAAGTAATGGTGTGAGCCCCTGGATCCACGTAGGCATGTCACATACAATACTCCAAGAAGTGACCCGTGAAGAATAGGTCTTCACCAACCCATGCTTGCTGTAAAAGGCGACTATGGATGCCGTAAGAGGAAACTAACAGGATCGGTTGGTCAGGCTCGCGGACTTGGTTGATACATGTCATCGTATCCCAATTGCTTATGATGTCAATCACTGGATTGTCTGGTCCAGACTTGATTATTTACAGATCACCGTCATATAGCTGGAATATTGCTGAGTTCGGCTTTAAACAACAAACAAACAAACTTTAGGAAAGACTGCAGTCTTGCATGAACAATCTAAGAGTAGCAGCTGACAACTGAATCAAGAACACTGGGGTTCCAACTTTTTGAAGAAGGGAAGATAACTCTGTAAGTGAAGCAACTTCATCCCTCATCCCCCATGGATAGACACACTGAATCCACGTACAACTGTCAGATGAACGAGACTGTTGATGCGTGATTTCAGCAATCCGTTACAAAATAGGTGTATAAGATGCGCACTGTAAGACTGTCGGATTAACGAGTCTAAATATCACTGATTTATTGAGACTTGACTGGTGGCACTATGATCGCACCCAGAAATTCTGGCCTAGTTCAGCAAGGGTGGAAACTGGACTTTTCCAGTCAGTTAACTCCCTTGCCTCGGGAAGATGTATTGCATAGATTCATAAGATGGTTTTGCTGGGAATTTGTTTTCATGGACCTGATGATGTCAAAGCATCCAAGTCCTCATACCAGATTTTCCCAGTACGTATTAGTGGCGTCCTGCATACATCAGTGCTTGCTTCCATTTTGAAGGAACTGTGTAATTTGATTGGATGGCCATTTATATCTTTCTTTCATTTGGAATGGACTCAAAACAAAGTTATATTTGAAGGTCATGTTATAACAGAGATATGATACACTGAGTAATCACAAAGGCATGAACACAGGAAGGGTGATAAAAACAATATTACCTATTTGAATTTATAAACAATCATCTCAAGACTTGCTCTACTTTAAGTTGAGTTTAGAAAGAATTGAAAACAAGCTCCGACATTTTCCAGACATAAGGGACCAGTCATTTATTATAGAGGGTTGTGGGTCAGGCTGAATCAAGAGGGGTCACCGAAACAGATGACAGTATCTGCTACTCACCGGGTTAAAATCGATCGGGAAGTAACAGGAAGTTACCTCAAACATCTCCTCCACAAACACTCCTGAAAACACAGCAGTCATATACACATTAAACATCTCCCCCACAAACACTCCTGAAAATACAGAAGTCATATACACATTAAACACCTCCTCCACAAACACTCCTGAAAACACAGCAGTCATATACACATTAAACACCTCCCCACAAATACTCCTGAAAATACAGCAGTCATACACACATTAAACATCTCCTCCACAAACACTCCTGAAAACACAGCAGTCATATACACATTAAACACCTCCCCACAAACACTCCTGAAAATACAGCAGTCATACACACATTAAACATCTCCCTCTAGAATCAATCACATCAGTCCAAAGGGGCAGTGGAAGCCCAGTCGTCTAGGGCACCACAACCTGCTGTGCTGCATTGCCTCCCTTGGGTGTGCCAGGATCCTTGGATCATTGGTTAAAGTCCCAGATTCACCCAGGTTATGCTGAAGTCACCAAAGTGGTAAACGTCCAAGACCTGCATCCCTTTAGGATTTCCTCCCACATCAAGCTGACATGCTATGATATAACTGGAACACTCCCACATCAAGCTGACACACTGTGATATAACTGGAATACTCCCTCATCAAACTGACACTCTGTGATATAACTGGAAAATTCCAACATCAAACTGACACGCTGTGAAATAAAGGGAATACTCCCACATCAAGCTGACATGCTGTGATATAACTGGAATACTCCCACATCAAGCTGACACGCTGTGATGTAACTGGAATACTCCTACATCAAGCTGACATGCTGTGATATAACCGAAATAATCCAACATCAAGCTGACACGCTGTGATATAACTGAAATAATCCCTCATCAAACTGACACTCTGTGATATAACTTGAAAACTCCAACATCAAACTGACACGCTGTGAAATAAAGGGAATACTCCCACATCAAGCTGACATGCTGTGATATAACTGGAATACTCCAAAATCAAGCTGACATGCTGTGATATAACTGGAATATTCCAACATGAAGCTGACATGCTGTGATATAACTGGAATACTCCAAAATCAAGCTGACATGCTGTGATATAACTGGAATACTCCAACATGAAGCTGACATGCTGTGTAAAACTGAAATAATCCCACATCAAACTGACATGCTGTGATATAACTGGAATACTCCCACATCAAACTGACACGCTGTGATATAACTGGAATACTCCAACATCAAGCTGACACGCTGTGATATAACTGAAATAATCCCACATCAAGCTGACACGCTGTGATATAACTGGAATAATCCCACATCAAACTGACATGCTGTGATGTAACTGGAATAATCCCACATCAAACTGACATGCTGTGATGTAACTGGAATAATCCCACATCAAGCTGTCACGCTGTGATATAACTGGAATACTCCCACGTCAAGCTGTCACGCTGTGATATAACTGGAATACTCCCACATAAAGCTGACATGCTGTGATATAACTGGAATACTCCCACATAAAGCTGACACGCTGTGATATAACTGGAATACTCCCACATCAAGCTGATACGCTGTGATATAACTGGAATACTCCAACATCAAACTGACACGCTGTGATATAACTGGAATACTCCAACATCAAGCTGACACGCTGTGATATACCGTAAATTGCAGTGTTTTATGTGAGTTTCTATGTGAATGAGCGGGTCATAAAAGACGGCAATATACGGTAACTGAAATACTGCTCAACCAATACAGATCACACCTTAGAGACCATAGATATTTTCATCAAATTCCAATCATAAATGCTCAAAATGTCATGTACACAAATGTTTTTGATGCATAGTTTATACTGAGTGACAATGACATTCAATGTCATCCAACGATACGTCAGAACAATTGCCTGAGATATATAGGAGGTATATAGGAGGTATATCAAGTATGAAGACTCCAACATCTCTCACATGCACATGGTTGATAAACACACAACAACAATGGTGATGGCAGAGACCATATACCGGTATATGGTCTCTGGTGATGGAGATCAAATTTGAGCAAACACATTTAGCTACAAAACCACAAACTAAATAAGCAGTTGTTTGAAATAACAAGAAACACAGATAAGCATGTAGACTTCCGTTCATGTAACTTCAGTAGTTTCTGAGATAACTTGTCCCCATTGCAGAGACTATACAGTAAGCTGAAAGCATGGAGCAAGGGCCATAACTCTGTAATACATGTATTTAAGACATTTTTTCAAACTCTTTAAAGATCATGACCAGTAATATCAGTATGTATAATTTCACTATCTAAATAGTTTCTAAGAAAATTTGTCCCCTTTAAGAGGACGGACAGACAGACGAACTCTGTTCCTCCATCCCCATCCCAGTTCGTGGCGGAGGATAACAGAGGTTTAAATAAAGAATTGTATATTTGCTAATAGATTGTATATTTAAATACTTATCCTATCTCACACTATGCATTTATTCTTATTCTTAGATCCTGGCGTGGAAACGTCCTAGAACAAAGTTTCCCGCTTCAAAAAATACCAATCACCCCAACACATCCCAGACATCACCAAGTCACCACTTTGATCATGGGTCACGCACCACTAAAATCCCGTGTGACACGACCCCAGTGACCTGATCACCTGACATGTCCAGCAGCCTCATTCTCAATCTAGAGCGTAAAGACTGGTGTTACTGTGATGCGGGGATGGTTGGGTGGGCTTTTAGAGTGTGAGATAGGATAAGTATATGAATATACAATTTATTAGAAAATTTACAAATTTTTAAACTTATCCTACCTCACACTATGCATTTATCCCATGGTTCGATGGTGGTGTGCAGATACCCTAGCCTGTAAGGACCTCAACCGTGAGATGTACCCGAGAAAGCTGGAACTTGTCCCGAAAATTTAAAGGATTTCACAAGGATTAGTGATAAACTCGTGTAAGGGTTGATTAAAAAACCCTGTTTGTGCTACCAAATGATATATCATGACATTGGGGGAATCATGTGTTCCATGGTTTCACACATGACGCTGTTCCAAGAAATGACCGCGTAACCATGACCCAGGCAACACCTACTCAGTCACGACTTAAACCTCACCCCAGAAAGGAGGAGGTGTTTTGTTACAAATACTCTGTCCCCAGACAGCAGGTTCTACAAGACAGACCTCACACATACGCTTCCAAGGACGTAAGGCGGACCAGCTTGACATCTCTATTTTGGCTTCGTGAAACCAATCAAGCTCAAGTAAGGATTGAATAAGGTCAGAACGAGAAGAGGAAACTATCAACAATACCCGTTTTTCACACAGGTCTTCAATCAACTACTGAGACATCACATGCACAAGACAGGTGAGCAGGTAGAGGATCGGGACACCATTTAAACAACTGGCCGCACTGGATGGTGACTTCTATGACTGAACGAACAGACAAGCAAATATACCCTCCCTCTGGGAGCTTGTCTGGGAAACCTGATTAACATTAGCAATAAAGAGAATATTTTAAGTATATATAGGATACCAGACGCTGGACTTGTAGTCTGCCGGGCATCCTCATCTGCGCTGTCTGGCTGTGGGAAGTATTGGGCCAAGACAAGAGGGCCAAAGTGACCTTGGACGTTGGTGACTGAGATATCCCAAAAGTAGTGGGAGGCAAAGACCACATCAGAAAGCCAGAAGGAGCCCTCCATGATGGCTGAAAGTGTGCAATAACTATGCATCGCCAAGGTGGAAGCCACTGCCCTCGTCTCATGAGGATTGGAAGCAGCTGGGGTGGTAGTCCCTCAAAGGAGTAGGCCCTGAGGATGATAGAACGCAGCCGATGATAGATCTCTGAAGTTTTCAGCCATCGATAAGTGGATGAAAGACACTTGCGCGAGCGACAGGAGGTCTGATTTGCCTTCAAGTGGACCTTCAAAGCTTGGACAGGGCAAAGCGAGAGGTCTTCCATGTCACCAGCTCCCAATATCACTGAGAGTGGTGGAGGGTGAAGAGATGTCAGGTTGTCCTGGGAGCTGAATCTTAGCAACAAAGTACCAGCGCAAGTCCAGGAATACTTACCTAGTTGAAGACTAGGAACCGGACTATACTGATATCTAAGCACGATTCCCACTAACACAGGCTGCAGTAGCAAGCATGAGTTCAGGGTCTTATCCACAAGTGCTTCAAACTCGGCCAGTTTCACTAGGAAGATGGTGAGATCCAATGCTGGAGCGCTAAGTCTGGATAATTGGTCCACAAGGCATTTTTTTTCTCTGTTCGGGTATACATCCGATCACCAGGCAATAGAATTGAGAATGAGGGTGCTGGATATGTCAGGTGATCAGGTCGCAGGGGTCGTGTCACACGGGATTGCAGTGATGCATGACCCATGATCACAGTGGTGACTTGGTGATGTAAGGGATGTGTTGGGGTGAGTGGTGTTTTTGAAGCGGGAAACTTTGTTCTAGGGCGTTTCCATGCCAGGATCGAAGAATAAGAATAAATGCATAGTGTGAGATAGGATAAGTTTAAAAACCAAGATTTTGCATATTCCTTATTGCTTATACTAAGGGTAGCCTTAATCCTCTTTAAAATAAGGAAAATATATTGATAGGTCCTGACTGTGTCTGTCATGGCAACAAAAGGAATGTAGTGACGTTGGGAACAACCCACTGTTCTCAGTTCCTCACCTAGAGGGAAGTTCCTGATGACCGTCTGGGCAAGCTGGAAGGCGATGATGAGATTGCGGGGGTCTCTCTCTGCATCCATCGCCTGGATGTACCCACACACAAAGTCCCCCTCCATCTTCTGCAGCTCTGGAATAAGTCATTGTAAGACTGAAGCCTTATGCTTATAAAATTTCTAATGATTTAGTAAGGTCGACTAATAATACAATATACCAACATGAGGATCATCTGAAAATGATGCCAATCGACAATTTAAGGAAGGCAGCTAAAGTTTGCAATATATGGATTGATCCAGGTAAGTCAGGAAATATACTCTAGAAAAAGTAGGGGATAGTTAGAATCATCAAGACATATCTTCTGATCAATATGGCCTTGGCAAATGACAACAGAACGCAATTGGAAGATAATAAGAAATAGGATTGCTTAACCTTATGTACTCTCTCACACAAGCCCACTGAGGTACCATGCAGCAGTTAAACATTGACACCCCACAGTATACTGAATCGGTCCTTAATTTATCACCCTTAAGCCAAGTGCCAGACAGGTTAACAAGTACCATCCTTAATGTCGAAACCCCGACCTTCCACTCTCAAGGAAGATGCTCTATGCACCACACCATGGAGACGGTCATACAGTCGTTTTAAGCAGTGTGTTGCCACTACTGGCAGTGAGACAACACCAGCCCCAGTACACTACCTGGCAGTGAGACACCAGCCCCAGTACACTACCTGGCAGGGAGACAACACCAGCCCTAATACACTACCTGGCAGTGAGACACCAGCCCCAGTACACTACCTGGCAGTGAGACACCAGCCCCAGTACACTACCTGGCAGTCAGACAACACCAGCCCCAGTACACTACCTGGCAGTGAGACACCAGCCCCAGTACACTACCTGGCAGGGAGACACCAGCCCCAGTACACTACCTGGCAGGGAAACAACACCAGCCCTAATACACTACCTGGCAGTGAGACACCAGCCCCAGTACACTACCTGGCAGTGAGACACCAGCCCCAGTACACTACCTGGCAGTCAGACAACACCAGCCCCAGTACACTACCTGGCAGTGAGACACCAGCCCCAGTACACTACCTGGCAGGGAGACAACACCAGCCCCAGTACACTACCTGGCAGGGAGACAACACCAGCCCCAGTACACTACCTGGCAGGGAGACAACACCAGCCCCAGTACACTACCTGGCAGGGAGACAACACCAGCCCCAGTACACTACCTGGCAGTCAGACAACACCAGCCCCAGTACACTACCTGGCAGTGAGACAACACCAGCCCCAGTACACTACCTAGCAGTGAGACAACACAAGCCCCAGTACACTACCTGGCAGGGAGACAACACCAGCCCCAGTACACTACCTGGCAGTGAGACAACACCAGCCCCTGTACACTACCTGGCAGGGAGACAACACCATCCCCAGTACACTACCTGGCAGGGAGACAACACAAGCCCCAGTACACTACCTGGCAGTCAGACAACACCAGCCCCTGTACACTACCTGGCAGGGAGACAACACCAGCCCCAGTACACTACCTGGCAGTCAGACAACACCAGCCCCTGTACACTACCTGGCAGTCAGACAACACCAGCCCCAGTACACTACCTGGCAGTCAGACAACACCAGCCCCTGTACACTACCTGGCAGGGAGACAACACAAGCCCCAGTACACTACCTGGCAGTCAGACAACACCAGCCCCTGTACACTACCTGGCAGGGAGACAACACAAGCCCCAGTACACTACCTGGCAGGGAGACAACACCAGCCCCAGTACACTACCTGGCAGGGAGACAACACCATCCCCAGTACACTACCTGGCAGGGAGACAACACCAGCCCCAGTACACTACCTGGCAGTGAGACAACACCAGCCCCAGTACACTACCTGGCAGGGAGACAACACCAGCCCCAGTACACTACCTGGCAGGGAGACAACACCAGCCCCAGTACACTACCTGGCAGTGAGACAACACCAGCCCCAGTACACTACCTGTCAGTAAGACAACACTAGCCCCAGTACACTACCTGGCAGTGAGACAACACTAGCCCCAGTACACTACCTGGCAGTGAGACAACACCAGCCCCAGTACACTACCTGGCAGGGAGACAACACCAGCCCTAATACACTACCTGGCAGTGAGACAACACCAGCCCCAGTACACTACCTGGCAGGGAGACAACACCAGCCCCTGTACACTACCTGGCAGGGAGACACCAGCCCCAGTACACTACCTGGCAGGGAGACAACACCATCCCCAGTACACTACCTGGCAGGGAGACAACACCAGCCCCAGTACACTACCTGGCAGGGAGACAACACCAGCCCCAGTACACTACCTGGCAGGGAGACAACACCAGCCCCTGTACACTACCTGGCAGGGAGACAACACCAGCCCCAGTACACTACCTGGCAGGGAGACAACACCAGCCCTAGTACACTACCTGGCAGTGAGACAACACCAGCCCCAGTACACTACCTGGCAGGGAGACAACACCAGCCCCAGTACACTACCTGGCAGGGAGACAACACCAGCCCCTGTACACTACCTGGCAGGAAGACAACACCAGCCCCAGTACACTACCTGGCAGTGAGACAACACCAGCCCCAGTACACTACCTGGCAGTGAGACAACACCAGCCCCAGTACACTACCTGGCAGGGAGACAACACCAGCCTCAGTACACTACCTGGCAGTGAGACAACACCAGCCCTAGTACACTACCTGGCAGGGAGACAACACCAGCCCCAGTACACTACCTGGCAGGGAGACAACACCAGCCCCAGTACACTACCTGGCAGGGAGACAACACCAGCCCCAGTACACTACCTGGCAGTGAGACAACACCAGCCCCAGTACACTACCTGGCAGGGAGACAACACCAGCCCCAGTACACTACCTGGCAGTGAGACAACACCAGCCCCAGTACACTACACTACCTGGCAGTGAGACAACACCAGCCCCAGTACACTACCTGGCAGTGAGACAACACAAGCCCCAGTACACTACCTGGCAGTGAGACAACACCAGCCCCAGTACACTACCTGGCAGTGAGACAACACCAGCCCCTGTACACTACCTGGCAGGGAGACAACACCAGCCCTAGTACACTACCTGGCAGGGAGACAACACCAGCCCCAGTACACTACCTGGCAGTGAGACAACACCAGCCCTAATACACTACCTGGCAGTGAGACAACACCAGCCCCAGTACACTACCTGGCAGTCAGACAACACCAGCCCCAGTACACTACCTGGCAGGGAGACAACACCAGCCCCAGTACACTACCTGGCAGTGAGACAACACCAGCCCTAATACACTACCTGGCAGTGAGACAACACCAGCCCCAGTATACTACCTGGCAGTGAGACAACACCAGCCCTAATACACTACCTGGCAGTGTGACAACACCAGCCCCAGTATACTACCTGGCAGTGAGACAACACCAGCCCCAGTACACTACCTGGCAGTGAGACAACACCAGCCCCAGTACACTACCTGGCAGTGAGACAACACCAGCCCCAGTACACTACCTGGCAGTGAGACAACACCAGCCCCAGTACACTACCTGGCAGTGAGACAACACCAGCCCCAGTACACTACCTGGCAGGGAGACAACACCAGCCCCAGTACACTACCTGGCAGGGAGACAACACCAGCCCCTGTACACTACCTGGCAGGGAGACAACACCAGCCCCAGTACACTACCTGGCAGTGAGACAACACCAGCCCTAATACACTACCTGGCAGTGAGACAACACCAGCCCCAGTATACTACCTGGCAGTGAGACAACACCAGCCCTAATACACTACCTGGCAGTGAGACAACACCAGCCCCAGTACACTACCTGGCAGGGAGACAACACCAGCCCCAGTACACTACCTGGCAGGGAGACAACACCAGCCCCAGTACACTACCTGGCAGGGAGACAACACCAGCCCCAGTACACTACCTGGCAGGGAGACAACACCAGCCCCAGTACACTACCTGGCAGTCAGACAACACCAGCCCCAGTACACTACCTGGCAGGGAGACAACACCAGCCCCAGTACACTACCTGGCAGTGAGACAACACCAGCCCCAGTACACTACCTGGCAGGGAGACAACACCAGCCCCAGTACACTACCTGGCAGTGAGACAACACCAGCCCCAGTACACTACACTACCTGGCAGGGAGACAACACCAGCCCCAGTACACTACCTGGCAGTGAGACAACACAAGCCCCAGTACACTACCTGGCAGTGAGACAACACCAGCCCCAGTACACTACCTGGCAGTGAGACAACACCAGCCCCTGTACACTACCTGGCAGGGAGACAACACCAGCCCTAGTACACTACCTGGCAGGGAGACAACACCAGCCCCAGTACACTACCTGGCAGTGAGACAACACCAGCCCTAATACACTACCTGGCAGTGAGACAACACCAGCCCCAGTACACTACCTGGCAGTGAGACAACACCAGCCCCAGTACACTACCTGGCAGGGAGACAACACCAGCCCCAGTACACTACCTGGCAGTGAGACAACACCAGCCCTAATACACTACCTGGCAGTGAGACAACACCAGCCCCAGTATACTACCTGGCAGTGAGACAACACCAGCCCTAATACACTACCTGGCAGTGTGACAACACCAGCCCCAGTATACTACCTGGCAGTGAGACAACACCAGCCCCAGTACACTACCTGGCAGTGAGACAACACCAGCCCCAGTACACTACCTGGCAGTGAGACAACACCAGCCCCAGTACACTACCTGGCAGTGAGACAACACCAGCCCCAGTACACTACCTGGCAGTGAGACAACACCAGCCCCAGTACACTACCTGGCAGGGAGACAACACCAGCCCCAGTACACTACCTGGCAGGGAGACAACACCAGCCCCTGTACACTACCTGGCAGGGAGACAACACCAGCCCCAGTACACTACCTGGCAGTGAGACAACACCAGCCCTAATACACTACCTGGCAGTGAGACAACACCAGCCCCAGTATACTACCTGGCAGTGAGACAACACCAGCCCTAATACACTACCTGGCAGTGAGACAACACCAGCCCCAGTACACTACCTGGCAGGGAGACAACACCAGCCCCAGTACACTACCTGGCAGGGAGACAACACCAGCCCCAGTACACTACCTGGCAGGGAGACAACACCAGCCCCAGTACACTACCTGGCAGGGAGACAACACCAGCCCCAGTACACTACCTGGCAGTCAGACAACACCAGCCCCTGTACACTACCTGGCAGGGAGACAACACCAGCCCTAGTACACTACCTGGCAGTGAGACAACACCAGCCCCTGTACACTACCTGGCAGTCAGACAACACCAGCCCCAGTACACTACCTGGCAGTCAGACAACACCAGCCCCAGTACACTACCTGGCAGTGAGACAACACCAGGCCCTGTACACTACCTGGCAGGGAGACAACACCAGCCCTAGTACACTACCTGGCAGTGAGACAACACCAGCCCCAGTACACTACCTGGCAGTGAGACAACACCAGCCCTAATACACTACCTGGCAGTGAGACAACACCAGCCCCAGTACACTACCTGGCAGGGAGACAACACCAGCCCCAGTACACTACCTGGCAGTCAGACAACACCAGCCCTAATACACTACCTGGCAGTGAGACAACACCAGCCCTAATACACTACCTGGCAGTGTGACAACACCAGCCCCTGTATACTACCTGGCAGTGAGACAACACCAGCCCCAGTACACTACCTGGCAGTGAGACAACACCAGCCCTAATACACTACCTGGCAGTGTGACAACACCAGCCCCAGTATACTACCTGGCAGTGAGACAACACCAGCCCCAGTACACTACCTGGCAGTGAGACAACACCAGCCCTAATACACTACCTGGCAGTGTGACAACACCAGCCCCAGTATACTACCTGGCAGTGAGACAACACCAGCCCCAGTACACTACCTGGCAGTGAGACAACACCAGCCCTAGTACACTACCTGGCAGTGAGACAACACCAGCCCCAGTACACTACCTGGCAGTGAGACAACACCAGCCCCAGTACACTACCTGGCAGGGAGACACCAGCCCCAGTACACTACCTGGCAGTGAGACAACACCAGCCCCAGTACACTACCTGGCAGTGAGACAACACCAGCCCCAGTACACTACCTGGCAGGGAGACAACACCAGCCCTAGTACACTACCTGGCAGTGAGACAACACCAGCCCCAGTACACTACCTGGCAGGGAGACAACACCAGCCCCAGTACACTACCTGGCAGGGAGACAACACCAGCCCCAGTACACTACCTGGCAGGGAGACAACACCAGCCCCAGTACACTACCTGGCAGTGTGACACCATCCCCAGTACACTACCTGGCAGTGTGACACCAGCCCCAGTACACTACCTGGCAGGGAGACAACACCAGCCCCAGTACACTACCTGGCAGTGAGACAACACCAGCCCCAGTACACTACCTGGCAGTGAGACAACACCAGCCCTAGTACACTACCTGGCAGTGAGACAACACCAGCCCTAATACACTACCTGGCAGTGAGACAACACCAGCCCCAGTACACTACCTGGCAGTGAGACAACACCAGCCCTAGTACACTACCTGGCAGTGAGACAACACCAGCCCCAGTACACTACCTGGCAGTGAGACAACACCAGCCCCAGTACACTACCTGGCAGGGAGACAACACCAGCCCCAGTACACTACCTGGCAGTGAGACAACACCAGCCCCAGTACACTACCTGGCAGTGAGACAACACCAGCCCTAGTACACTACCTGGCAGTGAGACAACACCAGCCCCAGTACACTACCTGGCAGTGAGACAACACCAGCCCCAGTACACTACCTGGCAGGGAGACAACACCAGCCCCAGTACACTACCTGGCAGTGAGACAACACAAGCCCCAGTACACTACCTGGCAGTGAGACAACACCAGCCCTAATACACTACCTGGCAGGGAGACAACACAAGCCCCAGTACACTACCTGGCAGGGAGACAACACCAGCCCCTGTACACTACCTGGCAGGGAGACAACACTAGCCCCAGTACACTACCTGGCAGTGAGACAACACCAGCCCCAGTACACTACCTGGCAGTGAGACAACACCAGCCTCAGTACACTACCTGGCAGTGAGACAACACCAGCCCCAGTACACTACCTGGCAGTGAGACAACACCAGCCCCAGTACACTACCTGGCAGTGAGACAACACCAGCCTCAGTACACTACCTGGCAGTGTGACAACACCAGCCTCAGTACACTACCTGGCAGTGAGACAACACCAGCCTCAGTACACTACCTGGCAGTGTGACAACACTAGCCCCAGTACACTACCTGGCAGTGTGACAACACCAGCCCCAGTACACTACCTGGCAGTGAGACAACACCAGCCCCAGTACACTACCTGGCAGGGAGACAACACAAGCCCCAGTACACTACCTGGCAGGGAGACAACACCATCCCCAGTACACTACCTGGCAGGGAGACAACACCAGCCCCAGTACACTACCTGGCAGGGAGACAACACCATCCCCAGTACACTACCTGGCAGGGAGACAACACCAGCCCCAGTACACTACCTGGCAGTGAGACAACACCAGCCCCAGTACACTACCTGGCAGGGAGACAACACTAGCCCCAGTACACTACCTGGCAGGGAGACAACACCAGCCCCAGTACACTACCTGGCAGTGAGACAACACCAGCCCCAGTACACTACCTGGCAGGGAGACACCAGCCCCAGTACACTACCTGGCAGGGAGACAACACCAGCCCCAGTACACTACCTGGCAGGGAGACAACACCAGCCCTAATACACTACCTGGCAGTGAGACAACACTAGCCCCAGTACACTACCTGGCAGTGAGACAACACTAGCCCCAGTACACTACCTGGCAGGGAGACAACACCAGCCTCAGTACACTACCTGGCAGGGAGACAACACCAGCCCCAGTACACTACCTGGCAGTGAGACAACACTAGCCCCAGTACACTACCTGGCAGTGAGACAACACCAGCCCCAGTACACTACCTGGCAGGGAGACAACACCAGCCCTAATACACTACCTGGCAGTGAGACAACACCAGCCCCAGTACACTACCTGGCAGGGAGACAACACCAGCCCCAGTACACTACCTGGCAGGGAGACACCAGCCCCAGTACACTACCTGGCAGGGAGACAACACCAGCCCCAGTACACTACCTGGCAGGGAGACAACACCAGCCCCAGTACACTACCTGGCAGGGAGACAACACCAGCCCCAGTACACTACCTGGCAGGGAGACACCAGCCCCAGTACACTACCTGGCAGTGAGACAACACCAGCCCTAGTACACTACCTGGCAGTGAGACAACACCAGCCCCAGTACACTACCTGGCAGTGAGACAACACCAGCCCTAATACACTACCTGGCAGTGAGACAACACCAGCCCCAGTACACTACCTGGCAGGGAGACAACACCAGCCCCAGTACACTACCTGGCAGTGAGACAACACCAGCCCTAATACACTACCTGGCAGTGAGACAACACCAGCCCCAGTATACTACCTGGCAGTGAGACAACACCAGCCCTAATACACTACCTGGCAGTGTGACAACACCAGCCCCAGTATACTACCTGGCAGTGAGACAACACCAGCCCCAGTACACTACCTGGCAGTGAGACAACACCAGCCCTAGTACACTACCTGGCAGTGAGACAACACCAGCCCCAGTACACTACCTGGCAGGGAGACAACACCAGCCCCTGTACACTACCTGGCAGGGAGACAACACAAGCCCCAGTACACTACCTGGCAGGGAGACAACACCATCCCCAGTACACTACCTGGCAGGGAGACAACACCAGCCCCAGTACACTACCTGGCAGGGAGACAACACCAGCCCCAGTACACTACCTGGCAGGGAGACAACACCAGCCCCAGTACACTACCTGGCAGGGAGACAACACCAGCCCCTGTACACTACCTGGCAGGGAGACAACACCAGCCCCAGTACACTACCTGGCAGGGAGACAACACCAGCCCCAGTACACTACCTGTCAGTGAGACAACACCAGCCCCAGTACACTACCTGGCAGTGAGACAACACAAGCCCCAGTACACTACCTGGCAGGGAGACAACACCAGCCCCAGTACACTACCTGGCAGTGAGACACCAGCCCCAGTACACTACCTGGCAGTGAGACAACACCAGCCTCAGTACACTACCTGGCAGTGAGACAACACCAGCCTCAGTACACTACCTGGCAGTGAGACAACACCAGCCCCTGTACACTACCTGGCAGGGAGACAACACCAGCCCCAGTACACTACCTGGCAGGGAGACACCAGCCCCAGTACACTACCTGGCAGGGAGACAACACCAGCCCTAATACACTACCTGGCAGTGAGACACCAGCCCCAGTACACTACCTGGCAGGGAGACAACACCAGCCCCAGTACACTACCTGGCAGGGAGACAACACCAGCCTCAGTACACTACCTGGCAGTGTGACAACACCAGCCCCAGTACACTACCTGGCAGTCAGACAACACTAGCCCCAGTACACTACCTGGCAGTCAGACAACACCAGCCCCAGTACACTACCTGGCAGCTTCTTGTACAGCATGTTGGACAGGAGGATGTACAAAGATCGCCGATCTTCCTGCGCCAGAGTTTGATTCTGGACTTCTTTGAAAATCTGTCGACATATTTTCTCTGCCACGCCATCTGGTGGTTCACTACACTTGCTCTGAAGACGAAATAACTGATGTGAACAAGATGCAGAGATACACCATCCTAACGGTAAACATTATGAAACATTCATGAACAAAGTCTTATTTGGCATATAACATGAGGTTAGTTCAAGAAACAATCACCTTCACTTACCATTATGATTATTGTTAGTAGCAGAAGTAGCATTAGTAGTAGTAGTAGTAGTAGTAGTAGTGGTAGTGGTAGTGGTAGTGGTAAATGTAGTAGTAGTGGCAGCATTAGTAGTAGTAGTAGTGGTTGTGGTGGTGGTAGTGGGAGTGGTAGTAGTAGTAGTAGTAGTGGTCATAGTAGTGGTAGTAGAAGTAGCATTAGTAGTAGTGGTAGTGGTTGTGGTGGTGGTAGTAGTAGTAGTAGTAGTAGTAGCATTAGTAGTAGTGGTAGTGGTTGTGGTGGTGGTAGTAGTAGTAGTAGTAGTAGTGTTAGTAGTAGTAGTGGTCGTAGTAGTGGTAGTAGTAGTAGTAGTAGTAGTGTTAGTAGTAGTAGTGGTCGTAGTAGTGGTAGTAGTAGTAGTAGTAGTGGTGGTAGTGGTAGTGGCAGTGGTGGTGGTAGTAGTAGTAGTAGTAGTAGTGGTAGTAGTAGTGGTGGTCGTAGTAGTGGTAGTAGTAGTAGCATTAGTAGTAGTAGTAGTGGTAGTGGTAGTGGTTGTGGTAGTGGTAAAGGTAGTAGTAGTGGCATCATAAGTAGTAGTAGTAGTAGTGGTAGTAGTAGTGGTAGTAGTAGTAGTGGTCGTAGTAGTGGTAGTAGTAGTAGTAGTAGTGGTAGTGGTAGTGGCAGTGGTGGTGGTAGTAGTAGTAGTAGTAGTAGTGGTAGTAGTGGTCGTAGTAGTGGTAGTAGTAGTAGCATTAGTAGTAGTAGTAGTGGTAGTGGTAGTGGTTGTGGTAGTGGTAAAGGTAGTAGTAGTGGCATCATAAGTAGTAGTAGTAGTAGTAGTAGTAGTAGTAGTAGTAGTAAGGCTTAAAATATTACACAAATTTCTGAACTTTCAATCTGCCTCTTTTAAACAAAGTAAAATGATATTTTGTCACCAGCCATTTGGATCATCTTGACTTTACATTAGTATTCCTGGCATTTGTCAAATGGACCAGCGTTTGGTGGAACCCTGAAGTTGTTGCCAGGGTTACTGGTGTGCTGCTTTCACTCACCAGGGCAAGAAGGCCGTTGAGAGCACATGGTTGGATGGAGTGATGATCAGTCAGCTTCTCACACAGATACGCAGCCAGCAACTCCACTGAAATACAGATACCGAATTCACTGTAATAAGTGCCCTGCTCCAATAAGTGCCCCCCCGATCAACTTCTAAACCAATCTGTATTGTTTGTTGTTTACCACCACACTCAGCAATATTCCAACTACATGACAGCGGACTGTAAAAAATTAAGTCTTGACCAGACAAACCAGTTATTGACATCATCAGCATCGATCCACGCAATTGGGATACGGTAACATGCATCAACCAAGTCAGCAAGCCTGACAACCCGATCCCTTTAGTCACCTTTTACACCAGTATAGTCGACTTTTATGGCAAGCATGGGTTGCTGAAAACATATTCTAACCTGGATCTTCACGGCAGTGTGACCAACCTATGAGTAATCTGTATACATGGTATAATCACCCACTACAAAAAACAATCATTTTCCTTTGATTTTATGGATTTTTTTTTAACAGAAAACAGCCACAAAGAAGGGCTATATAATTGGCTTGTAACTATTATGGAAAAGGTTTTGGTTTGATTGATGTTGGAAGTTTGTTGACTACCGCTCGATCTCTGAAAAAATTATACTTGTACTATGGAAATTACACTAAATTACTAAAACATTGACACTGAACAATAAAGTGTGACAGGAATTCAGCAAGCAACTGGGGTTTAATGATGCCTTAAACAGTATATCTAATATATCACAGCATCAGTTTTGATTTGGGGGATTGCTTGATTTACTTACCTCTACAATCTCATTACAATCAGATCCGTTTCTCAAAGATACCTGTATGATTCAAGATCGGACAAACCACCGTATGAGGTCACGTCATTGATCTTTCTAATCAGCCAATCAATGTCATGGGTCCTATATTTTCTGTTTGAGTTCAGAAGAGCCTTTTCTGCAGCATATTTGATTTCTATTTCTTGAAATGGAATATAATCAGGGAGTTCCAAATGCAAAAAAATAAACATGACAGAGCCATGCTGTCATATTGTTTGTGGATATTTTTATATATCTGGTCGTTTAGGAGCACCAGCCAATTGGCAGCAGGATCAAGGGAGTTTGAGTGAGAATGGTTTTACACCGCTTTCAGCAATATTCCAACAATATCACGGCGGGGGACACCAGAAATAGGCTTCACACATTGTCCCCTTATGGGAAATTGAACCCGGATCTTCGGTGTGATGAGCAAATGCTTTGACCACTCGGCTACCCCACTTTTGTTAAAAAAAGACGTGTGCGAATCAAGGTGCTAAAGAAGGTGATTCCTCGGGAAAAAAACAAATTCAAAACAGGAATTAGAAAAAGAAGGGAAAGACTATGACTGCCAGTCTCTGTATCAGGGAAACAATTATTTACCTTCTTTATCCTGTAGGAAGTCTGGGGTGAGATGGTGTAAGATGTCTGCCAACAGCCTTGTTCCTCGACAACGTACGCTGGTGTCAGGGTCAGTAAGGTACTTCCTGCAATCGTATCAACATGGACTTTCACATCTTACAAATCTTATTTCTTGTTTTTACAGACATTCTGTTTGAACAAAAAAACACTGAGTAAAACAGGCAGATCTTCTCCTGGTCAGACTATTGTGTAATCTTGGTAAATTTTTAAGCCAGTTCCTAGTGTTCCTTGTTATCATATTGCTGGCATGTAGCTAAAACTATACTCGCTCACTACTTATAGTGAGTCTTGTTTAATGTTACTCTAGAGCTTTATGTAAAGCACAAATGTGCGTCCATTTCGCAGAAATGTGGAGAATGGATGCAGAGAAAATATATACTGCATCCTGAAGGACGCACAATGATATTCATTGTACCTCCAGTGCATCAAGAGCAGTTATCGGTGTCTGTCATTTCATCCATCAATCATGACCACTGTCTACATGATCACTGATTCATTCCAGGCTCTGAAGTAATCATCTAGCTGTACAATACACTATGCAATTTCACTTCCTCACTGGATCCCCATATCGCATGCAAGGACCTTTAAAATTAATTATTGGGATCCCCTTGATCCCTACTTTCATGAGTCAAGGTAAACCCCTGTTACTTTGAACTGTATTTCAGTATTATTACAGCATGTCAACTTGATGTGGACGGAAAGCATGAAGTGATGCAGGATGTTTAAAGTTTACAGACTCTGCACAGTGAATTGTGGCGCCGAAGGTGACTGGGCCACCCATGCCCCATTAATAATTATATTATAAATATCACATACAGTCACAACTAACTAATCATGACAAAACTGTGCTGACTTGGCTGTGTTGACTGATGCTTACCCTAATCCCTCCACAATCTCCAGTAGCTTGGCTTCATTCTTCAACAGTACTGCAAGTAAACAAGGAAGAAAGCGCTATACTGATCAATATATGTGCTCACTTTGAAAATGGAGGGTTGCACATACAGAGTCAGATCCCCATCCCTCCACAGCAACTGTTTAAGGGTTTCAGTTGGCGTGAAGCAGCCCCTATTACCAATAAGAGAAGAAATAACAAAAATACTCGAATACATTTTTGTCCTCATCTCTGGGGTGTTCTGAATGCATGACAACTCTGTTTGTCCAGCCACTATTTCATAACTTTCCATGGGAACAATGTCCAAAGTTGTTTGGTTGCATTTTGCTTGATTGCTTTTTCAATGCCATGCGAGAACTTTTTTACAGTTTATCATAACTGAATGGAAGCTGATTCAGCCTAAGGTTGCACAAATCTATGGCACATAGTCAAACGATAGTGTCCCATAATTAAATAATATTCATGTGACGCATGGTGTAAGTGTCTGCATTTGTAAAACACATGTTGAACATGATTAAGTATAAATTACAACTTTAAAGCTTGAATTCTAACTTTCAGTTGGGAGAAGAAGATTTTTTTACCCTGATCATGAGAGAATGAAAGTTTTTTCAAGTATATTTGCTTGGCTGACGAGATCATTGTCGGCATGGGTACTAGGGCTGTTATGATTCAGTCGTGTATTCATTGAATCGAACCGTATCCCTTCATGAATTGAATTTGTTCTTCGTGGCCACTAGAATCGAAAATGTTCAATATTTTGTAAAGAGTGTTTTTTTTAATGAACTTGTCAGTTATTTATCAAAGCGTGATATGAAAAATGGAATATATACAAGCCATGCAGTAGTGTAGCTTGTGTCGGATTGTCAAGGCCCCTAGTGGTACAGATTGTCAAGGCCCCTAATGGTACAGATTGTAAAGGCCCCTAATGGTACAGATTGTCAAGGCCCCTTGTGGTACAGAATGTCAAGGCCCCTAATGGTACAGATTGTAAAGGCCCCTAATGGTACAGATTGTCAAGGCCCCTTGTGGTACAGAATGTCAAGGCCCCTAATGGTACAGATTGTAAAGGCCCCTAATGGTACAGATTGTCAAGGCCCCTAATGGTACAGATTGTAAAGGCCCCTAATGGTACAGATTGTAAAGGCCCCTAATGGTACAGATTGTAAAGGCCCCTAATGGTACAGATTGTCAAGGCTCCTAATGGTACAGATTGTCAAGGCCCCTAATGGTACAGATTGTCAAGGCCCCTAATGGTACAGATTGTCAAGGCCCCTAATGGTACAGATTGTCAAGGCCCCTAATGGTACAGATTGTAAAGGCCCCTAATGGTACAGATTGTAAAGGCCCATAATGGTACAGATTGTCAAGGCCCCTAATGGTACAGATTGTCAAGGCCCCTAATGGTACAGATTGTAAAGGCCCCTAATGGTACAGATTGTAAAGGCCCCTAATGGTACAGATTGTCAAGGCCCCTAATGGTACAGATTGTAAAGGCCCCTAATGGTACAGATTGTAAAGGCCCCTAATGGTACAGATTGTAAAGGCCCCTAATGGTACAGATTGTCAAGGCCCCTAATGGTACTGTCAATCAAATCATGAGGCTATAGTACAAGCAGCATTGCTGCAATGTGTTGCTTGTTTCAACCTGAGCAATAACATGATGTACATTTACATACATTTTAAATAAACTCAAGTTTTACGCTGACACAATGTTTTTCCCCAAAAGCAAAGACAATACTGGCTGATTACCGAGAGAAGTAACTTGTTATTGTTTTCGTGAATAAATATTTTTATCATATATATAATGTGTAGGTTTCTCAGCAGGATAAAGCCAACGGATAAAAACGATATCTGTTGGGGTCATATGCGGATAGAGATGCAAATATCAAAGGTCAAGTAGGGACTACTTTCAGTGTTCATAAACAAACATGGCGTCGCCCTTGTCATTTGGCAATCGAGTAAGAATTAACCTTCAGGAATCTGGATAAACTACAGAGGTAATTGCTATCATTATCAAAAGAACAGTCTAATATACTGAAAATCAGTGTCTAACTGTGACGTCGCTAAGGCATTTTATAAGTTTTGGCAACTTTGGAGATATAAATTTCGAAACAATTTTGCTAGGGCACTAGGGCTAGCCAAGCGGGATCAGTAGCCATATCTGTGCTTGTAGACCTCAGCGGCTTGAAACCTTTTCCACAAATTAAAATAGTTGGATTTGGCCGAAATATGTTTGAATTGTTACCTTGTTTTGTTTTGTCGCTGTGTGTACATCTGATTGCACCAAGATTTTGACAGGACAGGCCGGCTGTCAACAACGTCTGAACGTGGCCATGACATCGCATAGACTAGGGTTAGAGTAGCTTCCCTTTCACAAAGGGCAGTTACTCTAGTGGACTGACTGATGGATTGCCGCTCAGCAAGTAAAAACAATTGTTGTTTTGCATATACATGTTGTATGTTGCTTCGCCACTGTATAAGAAACAGCTTTCAGTTTGAACTATATTGGCTACTATCACTGTCCGACTGACACATCACTTACCCTGTGACGTAATAAATATTAATGCACGCATTCCAGGAAAACACGTAATGTTTAGGTAATGTTTGTGAGAGAGGGAAAGCGATTTTCAAGCACAGAATTAAAGAATGACATTATATGATAAAGAGGTTATCACGCTTGTGTGTTTGGGGATGGTAAATATCCTGTATTAGGAATAAACACTATGTATTTATATCTGTGATACGTATCATACTTGCCTCATAGTGTATTCGTTGCAGCCCTAATGGGTACTAAGTAAGAAACGAGGCGACACAGTGATCATGGTGATGAACGTAGGCTACACTAATATTCTTACACTAATACACTAATATTAATGCACTGCATTATCCAGCATGCACTCGTAATCAGATGAACCAGAATTATAACGTGAACCGTTTTTTGTTTTCTTGGAGAATATGGACTTGTCCCCTGTTTGGGGTACCGGGTACCTTTCTGTATTCTGATAAAGGCAGCAGAGTGTAAAGTATGGAATGGATTTTGGGTTGGAATACTGCATTGGAATTTGGAATGAGATAAATGGAGCATACCCTGTTTACAAACAAGTCTCCAGTCTAACAAGCTAAGACAGTTTATCAACAGATGTCACTGATATTTGGCAGATAAACTGAGGGACTTGGGTGTGAGCTTCTCTCATCAGCCATTGTCCACACCAGTGCTGAATGAGAGGAGACATACCTAGACGAGGAAACAGTTTATTCAACACAGTAATCTATGACTTACGGTAATCTAATGAAGCACAACAGAACACCATGTGAACAACAAAATATATATTCTGTTATATATTTATATTCATCATGTTTATCATCTTCATCCCCAAAAGAGCAATCTATAATGTATATCCAATATCACAAATGTTACTGAGACTTGCACAAGTCTCTAGGGCAATGGGACGAGTTTTTTACTTGTACTGTCAATGTAATTCACGTTGTTGTGTCAATAAGGGTACGTACATCAATGGGGAGTAGTGCACTTTACCGGGCACACTTTTTCAGATCCAATTAGCGCTGTGGGGGCTCGAACGCGCCTCGCCGGCTCACCGGTTCTGCTAATTAATGCATTAATTAGCCGACACTCTACCACTGGACCACAGGCGCTATCACATGTAATCAGTGCTCGTTTAACGGGTCATTAGAATCCCCATTGACATGCACACGTAATCAGTAAACAGTGAATTGCGCATGCGTGTGACGTCACGGTCCGCGCTCCCATTCATCTTTTCTTGAAACCACACCCGCAATTGTTTTTGTCAACATGACCGACCAATGGGATTAACTGGATTAACGCTTGAAAAGGTAAGAATTTATGTCTAACCCTTGCCCAAAGCAGGCTAACCCTAATGACCGAAAACGGGTGTTGGATCGTAAAGACGTGTAAGTTTCCCTAAGACCGAAAAACGGGTGTTGGATCGTAAAGACGTGTAAGTTTCCCTAAGACCGAGAACGGGTGATTGATCGTAAAGATGTGTAAGTTTCCCTAAGACCGAAAAGGGGTGTTGGATTGTAAACATGTGTAAGTTTCCCTAAGACCGAAAACGGGTGTTGGATCGTGAAGCGAGAGTCACCAGAGCGTGAGGCACGGTAACCGTATAACGAGACAGCGCTGGCACTATAGCGCGGTAATTGAGCGGATGGTAGAGCTCGGGCTGTGCCCGGTAAACTGCATTGTTGCCCATCAATGGGTTTGTTTTCAGTGTGAGATGAGGATATTCCATTTTTTGGTTCATTCCTAATTCCATCCAGTATTCCAATCCAAACTCTATACCAAAATCCATTCCATACTGTTTAAAGTGCCGATTTTGGCTTGGGTACATTTCTACAGAAGACAGTAAACAACATAGATTCTTTGTAGATCTAGTACCCGTGCCGACAACGGACACACAATTTTATTACACAATCCATATAGGTTCCACAGGCGCTCCTGGGCCCTCGTTAAAAAACGGACAATGGTACGCACACTGACTGATGTCTGACGCCGCAGAGTCATCGTTTCCACGAACAAAATTTTGAACAGATATGCTCCACATGGGCGCCGCCATCTTTCAATACGGCAGTAAACAAATACAAGTTCTAAATCGTAATAATAAATTTTCAAAATCATATAACTACATACAAACATAACATATGTGAATATGTAAGGAATAGTTTTCAAGTTCGTTCCAATCTGGATCCCCATAAATATTTTCGACCAATCAAACGTGTCTTTGACAAGCAAGCACCTTGTTTGTGTGACGTCACGGCCGAGAGAGAAGGAAGGTGATCAAAAGTCCATTGTAATCTTCAGGGAATCCCCCAAAATATCTGCCAGAGGCTTATTCCCCTCCCCCAGTTGTCATGGGAGGGTGTATAGGGGCAAACCGAGACAATGGCCCACCTTCTAGGGAGTCATCGGATGTGACAGGTATGGTACAACATGGTAGGTGTTGATTTGTTTATCTTGGGAGTGAGACGAGGAAATTTGCTTTTTCCACACCAATACACTAACTCAACAGCTGATCTTGAACATCCGGGTGCGGATACACTGCCGAAGCTCACCGTCTGCAGGGTCTGCGTGATTGTCATCGCTTCTCGCCCTGTCCTGTCCCTGCTCTGCGGCTGCTGCCTGATGTCCACCCAATCCTTCTCCATGTTTAACTTGAAATTTAATGCTAATTAGATTCCTAACTTTCCAGTGGGTGTTATCCTAAACAAACTGTTTGGTGATCAATTTCATGAGAAGACTTTGCATTGCAGTCTGTATTTATTTTTACATATGAACAATTTTAATGATCTATACACCAAGAAATTGTTGAAATTTGGAGTTATTGCAGCTTTACAGATTCCATTCCACCGCTTCATAAGCAGTCATTATCATGATGATGAAAATGATATAGTGCTGCCTATCATTTCAAAACTGATGGAAATCTATTTTCTATAGCATCATGATCATTATAACTGTTATTTTGTTGTGCATGTTTTTGGTGATGTCAATATAAGTGGTTATAACTTGTGAATACTACTTAATTTCTATGATGCCCATTACATGAGGCAGAGATACAAGGTTGTGGTGACCTGGTCTGGTACCATATTCCTGTCTTTTGGTTTTAAGTGGGCCTACAAAACTATGAAATATGAGGGTCCTGTTTAATAATGAAATGGTGTAGTGTATTGTACTGTAAGATAAGATAATTACTTTTAAAACAGGACCTTTATATATCTTGACAAAAATTGGTACAATGAATATTATTGTGAGTCCTTCGGGATGCAGTATTTTGGTTTTTGTCTGCGTCCATTCTATACATTTGTGCATACTGGACACACATTTTTGTGTGCACATTTCAGCATCCTCTAAAAACCTGCAGTCTATCTTGTTTTAGAATTAGGGTAATGACAAGAAGCCCTTTACTTACATACCTAATTTGACACTGCTGACTACAGCTGACACTGGGGATACCATATTTCCTCATATATTAGCCAGAAATCTGATGTAGATACTGTGTCAAAATAAAATAGAGGCAGGACCTCTAATCATGCTAAAGCATGCAGTGCCAAGTAAACCAGTAACTGAATGATCCCCATATTGAAACCTTGTTGTGAATAGCTCTTTCATTGATTACATTGGGTAAAGAAATGGATGTCAGTCTTTAAAACATACCAACTTTGCCCAGGTTCCAATGTACGGTGGATCATCATCTGGTCCAATTAAACATGTCAAACAGGGTTATTGTCAGAAGAAATACCCACTATTAGAGGAAATAGTGTGTGGTGAGAGCTTGCAGGAGCATTCCTCCTCTGCCCCATGTATTACAGCTTACATGCTTACATGCTTGTATTGGTTTAACATTTTTATCCTCATTAAGTTTGTTTTTACTAGGGCTGGCTATCCATAAAGATCATAGAGATTGACAATCGTTTACTAAATATCAATCAATTATTGATAAGTATCGGAGAAGTAACTTTGAGCAAATACACAACAAAAAAGTCTGAACGAAAACAACTTGTTTCACCCCACTGGTGAGTGGTGGCACATTTATGCATGGATTACTTTGTGGACATTTAAGATATAACAGAAACAGCTGCTTTCCTTGTTCGGCAATTGACATGATTGACAATAACAAGTCTGTTTTGGTAAATCTAAACTTTATTTCATCACAATAATTCATGTGAGAATGTTATCGATGACACAATTTTCATATTGATAATTGTTGATATTTCTTCCCATCAACAATAATTCCAATGCTACATCTTTTTAGCCAGCCCTAGTTTTTTCTCATATCATATTCTCATTGTTGATACCAGACATAAGTACATGTAGACATGAAACTTTGATGGATATCCACTTCCTTGTTTGTAATGATGTTTTGGGGCTACCTCGTGCTTCATTCAGACAAGCATTAGATGATAAACATGGTGACAATCAGTCTGATTTAAGTCACTGGTCATAATGTTGATGTATACTGTCTATACCAATAATTACTCAGGGATGCAATTGGCACAAATCTGCTTGCCTGCTTGTGTAACCCGTGGTATCCTGAGGTCCCGTGAAGATTCCGGGTTAGATCTGGTCTTCAGCAACCTATGCTTGTTGTAACATGTGTAAGAGGCGACCAACGGGATCGAGTGGTCAGACTTGCTGACTTGGTTGATGCATGTCATCGTATCTCAGTTGCGTAGATCGTTGCTCATGATGTCGTTCGCTGGATTGTCTGGTCCAGATTCAATTATTTACAGACCGCCGTCATATAGCTGGAATATTGCTGAGTATGGCGTTAAACAAACAAACATGGTACCCTGAGGGCTAGTGGAATTTCAGGCTCTTTAGGGTGTCCTAGGTGCTGTCTCTCTTTGGGGCAGTAAATGTTTCAGGTTATGTTGCATAAATCTTTGGAAATCTTCAAAATTTTAATCATTTTCACCTGTCTATTGCATGTACTGTGACAATGTTTCCAATATGGCTGAAATTTCGCTGATGTGATATGACATTTTAATCGTTGGCCTCTATTTGTGCCCTTGCGGACTGTGAATGTTGTGAAAGGTAGCAAGGGATGGCGTCACGCTTCGACTATTTTTGAAAATCATAAAGTGATTGTTATGCATTATATGTTTAAGTGTAGATATGATGGTTATGTTTAATGAGGTAAGTGAAGCATGACTCTCCTTCCAATTAGTCAATAGTCTGGCTGTAACCAACTTGTATAGGAGAATGTCAGACACTGTACACCCTAGGCTGATCTGGTGGACCTGGATGTATATTACAAGTTACAATATCAACGTGATCAACAATCAAATGCATGCTATGTGACAGACACGATCATAATAATGTCTTCAGCGATAGAAACAGTTTTAGTCCACTATTCCTTATAATTATAACATGTAGCAAAACCCTTACAAAGGGCAGATTTCTACTATTATGATACCTTACTATTGGGCAGTTTGGCAAGGACTACAGGACTTGTGCCAATTTCTAACACTGATATTCAATATGCTGTGGCAGATGGTATGCTTCTGTCACGTCTTTTCTTTCATATTTTGCTTTTCAAATCAGTGGCCTCACATGACTTCACATTGCAACATGTTTCATATGTAGACCACTGTATGCATATGTGAGCCATGATACGTGAACCCTACATATTGCTACGTATTGCAATACATATCATGTACATATGTAAATATTTACTTTGCGTGAGATGTTTCCATATGGCTTGCCTGACAAGCAAATGACAAGAAGTTTGCTATCTGTGAACCAGTTTGTGTTATTTATGGTTTATTCTCCCTGCAGTGTTTTATTGTATGATAAACAACTCCCACTCGTCGTTTATTTCTTATATGAGAGACCTGTGAAGATCCAGGGTAGAATAGGTCAAAAGTAACTCATGCTTGCTGTAAACGGCAACTATGCTTGTTGTAAGAGGCGATGAACGGGATCAGGTGGTCAGGCTCACTGACTTGGTTGATGCATGTCATCATATCCCAATTTCGTGGATCGATGCTACTGTCAATCACTAGATTATCTGGTTCAGACTCAATTATTTACAGACCGCCGTCATATAGCTGGAATATTGCTGAGTGCGGCGTTAAACAAGAAACAAACACAACAAAATCTTATAAATGAGATATCAACATTATGTACAACCACTTTAATGATGATAGTAAAAAGTAGTAGTTAGTAAAAATATTTACCCATAATTAAATAATAATGACTCCCTGAATCATGTGAATAGAATCCGACTGCGGCTATGTCGGACAAGTCCAAATTATGAACAGGGGGTTTAAATTTGGTCTTTCCCGCATATTCCCACAACTTTCATGTCTATAATCTGTACCTTTTCTCCCAATACTGCTTGTAACATCTCTCCCACTTTTGGGTGCGATTGTTCGGGCATCACGTTTAACTGCGTTGCCCAGCTACATCTAAGGGGAACAACTCACTAGACACATCCCTCTCAAAAGTAATTTGATCCAATTTCTGTCACCAAGTTGCGAGCCCATGATCGAATCTCCAGAAGTGACGTCATGCTAGAAGTTCATGCTATTCCTGATAAAATATTAATTTCACATACAATTTCTTCCGACCATTGCATCAAAGTTCTTTGAAGTTGTATCAATGGGTACGTTTTAACTGAATCACCGGTAGATTGGGAGGAAACGTGTGCACAGCTGATTGCTATTTCCAGCTTAGTTTACGAGAAAACACACACGGTAATCTTAATCTCTGCATATAAAACAATGCCTTGGAGAGCAGGATACATTTTAAATGGTAAATCATCATGTCTAGTGATGTTTTATATCAAATTTCATGCTTTGATTGACCAAGTTTGTTATACCTGTTTATTCACCTGAATTGGCTGAAGAGATACGATAACGCTCATCAATTATTTGGACCCCGTTTGTTTTTTAAAATGTCCGGACAGAAAAATTTAAATGTCCGGTAAGCAATATCTTAAACCTGACATTTGAGATTCCCAATCAGACATGTCCGGCGCATATGACTGTTTCCAGACCCCTGGCTAGAACAATGTTTTATCGTGAAATAAACCACACTTTGCAATTTGTCGTGTAGCTATCTTATGTCACATGATAATTTAGTCTCTTTCTAAGTATTATCATGATCATGCAGTCAGATTCAGCATGTTTCCTGACAGGCAGGGAAGTAAGGTTAACCTGGGCAGTTATTGTAAAACTTTGTCAACATTAGTTTTTGAAAACCAATACAGAAACCAGTGACGCTATGGCCAGGTCTACCATGTGTACTGTAAGATGCTCGGATTCGCAGTCACATGGTTACCCTTCTCACCCTTTTGACCCCCAGATGACCGGGGACAATAGCAGGGAGGGGCGTATTTGTCACACATGAAAAGCATGGCATCTGAAGAATGTGTGGCAAAACTATTTGTAGAAAACAATTAAAAAGCTAATAATGAATGAATTTTTGCAAAATTACATCATAATCAGAAAAATCTTTGCTTTTGGAATTTCGTCTCTTGGGACCTTTAACTTGTTTCACCGATATGAATTGTTTTAAAGCATTTTTAGAATTAGCCATTTTTCACAAATTTCATATTTTTCGCAAAAACGAACATTTTACATGCACCAATAATGACGCTCAACCAGGAACTAAGATCCAGAAAGAACAATGGTAAAAACAAGGAAACGAACAGTACTGTACACAATCATGTATGTAAACATGATAATCATTTAGGTCATGCTTGTTTACTTAATGGCTGCAGATACTCAATAACTGGTTGGGACAGTATAAATATACAACCTATAAATATACAACCATAGCATTCTCACGTAGATATTACACCAGTGTAACCTTATCCTCTTGCGATGAGCGCTTGGCTTCCGTGGTAGGTGGTGTGTAAATACAAGCTGGTCATGATAACAGCCTTTGTACTTGTATGCATCTTGCAATCGTAAGCCTTGTTAAGCCTTGTTAAACCTTGTTAAGCCATGAAATATGGAGATGTGGGTATAAGATGAGGTGATGAGTTGGTCATGGTGATATGGCTGATGAACAGTGTCTTACAAAGTTGGTAACCATGGATTTTATCACAGGGAATAATATTTTCTTTCTGAACATGGTGAATGTTCAAGATATTTCTCCAGTTCGAATTAGGAATTCCAATTGTGTTTGGGATAAAACTGTATCTGACCTTTCATTGGGGTATGATGTATCGTGCTCACTGGTTCCATGCATCTTCTACTTCATGTTAAATTTATTCAAATAAAGACTATACTCTATTTCATCTTTCTGAATATTATAATAATTTCCACGGGTGCAGGGTGGGTGTGAAGTATACTTAACTGTCATACATTTTAAGTTTTATAGGTCACTAGTATCCTAAGTGTTACTTCACGGTAATGTGTATAATAATAACATGACAAATTGTTTCGCAGATTATTTGCATTCCTTTTTGGATTTCCATTAATTGCGATCACAGAATGCTGATTCTGAGGTTATACATGTTATATGAAAACATTTCTCTTTTGATCACCAGCTTACCTTGTTGTGAGAATAATACGTTCAGTTTGACAATGAAAAGTTGTATTTCATACTCCCTAAGCGAACAGTTTGATAGGTAAATAATAATAAGATCCAGTGATTGACATCATGAGCATTGATCCACGCAATTGGGATACGATGACATGCATCAACCAAATCAGCGAACCTGACAAGCCGATCCCGTTAGTCGCTCGTACAACAAGCATAGTTGCCTTTTACAGTAAGCATCGGTTGCTGAAGACCTATTCTACCCCGGAATCTTCACGGGTTGTAAATGGACTGACCTAGGTGGACGTGCGAGGTGGACATTGGAGGTTGCCGTGGGGGGTGGCTGTGAGAAGTGGCCATGGGAGGGTGGCTGTGGGGGGTTGCTGTGAGAAGTGGCTGTGGGGGGTTGCTGTAAGGTGCACACTCACTGCTTTCACGTCAAGATCCACCTGTACTCAGTGTTCATCAATCTATCCTGTTATTACGGACAATTTCACTGGAAATGATGCTGTCCAGGGAACCAGATTCAGTGTTAGGTTTTCAAGAAAACAACCTGTAACAGCGTTTGTTTATGTTGACAGTCTCAATAGGAAGGAACCAACCTCTGAAGGCAGAGAAGCCCAAATGGAAGAGTGACGTGCAACTGACCGAGGGCCAGCTCCGCAGCAAACGAGATGAATTCTGGGACACGGCCCCCGCGTTCGAGGGCAGGAAGGAGATCTGGGACGCCCTGAAGGCAGCTGCCTACGCCCTGGAGACGGGAGATCACGCCCTGGCTCAAGCCATTGTTGATGGGGCCAATATTTCACTACCACATGGTGAGTTTGTGATGCCAGAGAAGTGTTGAAGACAAGCAGGAACTATCAGGAACTGTATCGAGCATGGCTTAGACTAGTCGACTTGTTAATCATTGTTTGGTTGTTTAGTGACACTGGGGTGATGGCGAGGGGGGCTGTTATCTGCTGTTGCTGTTCCCTGTACAGAGTAGAGCCAGGATCTGCTGATCAGTGTCCATTGTTTGGTTGCTTAGTGACACTGGGGGATGGCAAGGGGGCTGTTAGTGTTATCTGCAGTTGCTGTTATGATTAACTGTAGTCATATTAAAAAATTGGATGTTCTTTGACTTCTTTTAAGTGGTATATATAACGAACAGCTGATGTTTTTGCTTTGAATAGATAACCTGTATTACGAGGACCAATAAAGCGGAAGAGGTTTTAGTTTTTAGTTTTATTTATTGCATTGAATACAGTCTTAAAATACAATGTTAAAATACCCCTGAATTTAACATGTTTAAGAAAATAAGACATTGTTTTTTCCCTAAAAAGATTTGTCACAAAATTGTGATTTTTTTTTGCCAATTTGCCTTCCAGGGGCCCTGACTTTATAACCTTCCCTAAATCCCTGCTCTTGTTGTTACCAGGAACACTGATGGACTGCTACGACGAACTGGGTAACCGTTACCAACTTCCTGTGTATGTTTTGAGTGCACCGACCAATTTGATTGAGGAACTCAGTGAGAGTGACAATGGGCAAGACACAGACAATTCCTCACCTGGGATTGAAATTCCAATCAAATTCCGCCTTTCTCACACAAACAAGGACATCAAAATGCCTGTTCGTACAACAGACTCTGTCTATAAAATCAAGAAGCGAATCTGTGAAGATGAAGGGATTGAGGTGGTAAGACAGCGATTCTTCTACTCTGGGCGATTGCTCAATGATAAACTACGAATCGAGGACGCAAAAGTTCCAAAAGGACATGTGATTCAAGTTATAGTGACCAAGAAGGAAGAAGACCTTTAAGGCATGACATGAGTTATCTCCCCTTAATTGACTTGCGTTGAAGTGGAGCAGTAATTTGAGTGTATTCAAGGTAACTTCCAAGATGCAAAATGATACATATATATGTCTTGGTAGAGGAATGAGGGTATGAACTCCCCTTTATCAACATGGATGTACATTAGGTAGGGGGTCCACTTGAAAACCCATGGTTATAATTCCATGTGACTCTGCACATCATGAATAAGATGTTTTGGTGTCCTCCAATGTCACTGTGTCATCTTGGATTGGGTGATGTTACAAAGTAAATTGTGTTTTTTGTAAAATAATAATTCCTATGGAATGTATCCCAGGGAGTTGAGATTGCTTTATTCTCATTGGTCCTTTGATAATAATGTCCTCACTTTGAGTATGTCCCTCCATGGTCTTGTGCTGAGTAAGAGGCCAGTTATTAGTAGTGAACTTTAGGCAGACCGAGAAACCACTTGATCTTGTTGCAATATCTAGGGGAATTATTGGGTGGGATTCATTTTGTTTGGGGAGTGATAACATGCCTTCCTGTTGATACATGTCAAGATACTTGGGTCATGATACGATGTGCATCATAACACTGTTTTTATCTGAAATTCTCTACTTTCCTTGTGGCCTGGCTCTCAAGCCAAGTTGTGTTCAACTCAGATGACCTGTTAATAGGGGCTTCTTCATGCACTCACGTAGTATCATGTAAACAGATTTAACATTTCATAGCTTGTTAGACCAGTAGTTATCGTGGAAGGTAATTGCAACACTTTTGCTACCCTTTCAAAAATTCAGTTTTGAAATAAGACATGAATCAGTACGTGAGTAGGCGTAATGGTTACATCCACCAAGTATTGTTAGACTTTCGTGTTATATTTAGGTTAAGGGAATCCAAATTTTCTTGTATATTTCCTCACAATCTCATTAAAATCAGATCCTAGTTCTCACTACTGCTAAGCAAAGATCAGAGGACATCCCTTTACAGGTCATGTCAGAACAACCTTTTGCGAACTATGACCGACTAATTAAATGACTAACAAGAAGTTGTTATTAGCCAATCAGAAAGCTGCTTTCTCGAGCAGTATGACACAGTTCAAACTGACGACTTGCATTCCAGATTGTGCTTTTATCAAGATTTTGACATCGTTTTCGGTTCAAAATTGAAAACTAAACAAAAGAACGTTCTGGAATGTCTAATAGATGGCCGAGATTGTATGGCAATACTTCCCACGAGCTATGGAAAGTATCTGCCATTCAAATGTTTATTGGGGGCAAGGGGGGCCCAGTCGTCTAAGGCGACACAATTTGCTGTGCAGAGATGCATCCCTATGATTGTGGGTTCACCCCAATTATGTTTCTAGGTTTGTCAGCACCATACCCATGCTCGTGTGTTTCACCAAAGTTGGAAACGTCTGAGACCTGCATCACTTTGGGATTTCCTCCCACATTAAGCCGACACGTCATGATATAACTGGAATACTGTTCAAAGCCCTCACTCACTCACTCAAATGTTTATCCCATTGAAGCGAGAAATAGATGATGATTTTGACGGAATCAGTCGTACAGCCTGTACCTGTTGTTCAGAATACCATGTGTTAACTTTATCAGAGTTGCATGGTAAGAAAACACACTCCGACTGTCACTTTCCTGATCGCTTTGATTGGTCGGATGAATGGTCGTTCTGACATGACCTGTAATGGGATGTCCTCAGATCTTTCTTTAGCGAAATGCATGACTTCATTCTTGTCTGCTGTAGTAAATGATGCTGTCTATGGTTGCTGATCAGCTGTCACTCGCCCATCCCTACATGGCTTGACATTCCAGTAGCTTGACTTCTCAGCCATTTGGACAGTTTTCTACTAGGGGGAGAATGAACTAGCTAACATGTAATCTGAAACACTAAAGAAATGCAACAGTTTTTTAATTTTACATGTTTTTAGCAATATCATGATAATGGAATAATTTCATCTACAGGACAATAATTTTGTAAATAGTTCAATGATTGGTTGGGAAGTATGTATTTAGAAAATTTGAAGTTACTGAAGCATTTCTTCAGTGTTCCAGCAGTTGAATGGCCCACACGTTCAGAACACAAGAATTCCCAGATGTTGAGGGCACATGGCGTCGACTAATGCATTCCTGATAGATATGTCTGCTATCATTAATGTCATATTACCGAACAAACCCCCCCTCCTCATTTGGTGGAGTCCTCTGATCTCATGTTGCCTGAGGTCAGTGAGGAGACCAAAGGCGTGAATGCCTTTTCATTGTGTGTCCAACAAATAATTATATTTCCATACTATTATTATAAGTACCATGGACCTACTCACCACCATTGTTTTGTTTGTGAAGTGACGTCACCTTCTTCATTGTATTGTCTTAGCTCAGGGGGGCGCGGGGGGCCCAGTCAGCTTAGGCACCCCAATTCTCTGTGCAGAGTTGCGTCCCTTGGGCGCGCCAGAAACCTATGATTGTGGGTTCGAATCCTGTGTTGCCCCGATAATGTTTCTAGGTTTGTCAGCACCATACCCGTGCTCCTGGGTTTCACCCAAGTGGTAAACGTCTGAGACCTGCATCACTTCGGGCTTTCCTCCCACATGAAGCTGACACACTGTGATATGACTGGAATACTGGTATAAGCAGCATTAAACCCAACTCACTCTTAGCACAGAATTTTCTCTCGCTCATGAGCTTGCATGAGCTGAACGAGAGCTTGGCATAGATCTGTATACAAAATTGTGACATTGTACCTGCTTGCCTTCAGGATGTTAATCAGAAGACTTAGTAAATGAACTGTTTAGGTGGATAAGATGTTTTCATGAATATTAGGGCTTAAAAAAATATAAGAATTGGTTCCCAGGCGATGACTTTCGAAAATATTGTGAGGACAGGCAGTGTTGTTTTGTTTTTGTTTTTTCTTATTCATAACAGTATGTAACAAAATAAACAGTTGTGTACCATCAACCTGGGAAAGGGCCTCCCTACATAAACAAGCATACAAACTCCTATTGCTGCCAACCTATAACACGAGAAGCGCAGTAAAGCAGGGTGCATGTAAAGGGAAGTAACTGTGTGCTGTATTGGATCACATTCTTTTTAGTATTAGGTTATATTTTTTTTGGGAAAGTGGAAATAAGAACGAAACCTGCATCCAACTTTATGATGATGCGGGGGGTGCCTGAGAACCAAGACTTATTTGTTTAGCCCAAGTGGGGGGAAGTGTTCTGCTTCATGACATTCCAATTTATGTTTCTGTCAAGTACTGATTGTGAGGCTGCTGGATTCAGTCATGCAATTTGATTGGTTGGCTATTTTTAGCATCCATTCTTTCAGTCCAAACTTGTAATGAAGAGTGACCAAATGGGTTCAGGGTATTTATGATAATAAAATGGAGATATAATACACAACATAATCGAGGCATATTTGTGTGGTTCCCTCGTTATGTAATGATTAAACTAAGTTACAAAATGCAGGACTCTCACTGTATGTTTGTTTGGGTTCTGCATTTGTTTTAATGGGGAAGGTAGAGTCTCAGTGCATGTTGTTGGCCAAAGATGTTTCAAGGGTTTGCTTTTGATAATTAGTTGATAAACCAAAGAATAACAAAGAAACACACATTTCATATCCAAGGATCTTTTGAACAAGAGGCTGAAACAATAGGTAGAAATAGGAAGAGCTTTTGCTACAGACATATTATTATTATTATTATTACATGTAGTATTATTATTATTGCTGCTGCAATGCCTTATTCTAATGATGATGCATGGTTTATATTCAACTATATCTAGTCAATGTTCAGTAATGCTCTGGGGATACATGGCAACAAGCCAAGAAAGTGTTCATCATTTTCAGGAAATAACATCCGACGGTTTACCAGGGATTTATCTAGTGTTTATAACTAAGTAGGCAGGCATATGTGGAGAAAGGAAATTGTGATTCGGGGGATTATCATGATTATGACATAGTATTGAACACAATATGTCCTCCCCATGGTCATCATGTTTATTGGTCCATTTGTCAGAGCATACCAGCCACCTCCATGAAGCCATCACATAAGTTGTAACAATAATAATGTCATTGGGAACAGGTTTAATGTCAATTTGGGACGTTTTACTGACATTTAGGCAGAATATCTGCCTTTGAGCAGGTCCAGATGAAACCCTGACTACGGTTTGTATCATTTGACTCCAATCAGGTCCATGAAATTTTACCCTTCTTTCATCATCCATTGTAGAGAAAGAAAGTTGTTAGTGTTCAAGTCCCACACATGATGTAAATGTTTCTCTTAATGTATGTGTACTATGATAGGGGAAATACAAATGGGATCATTATTGGTTTCTTGAAGTACTGCTATTTTGCTTAAAAATATCAGCTGTTGTGCAGGGCAAGAACTTCTACTGGGTTGGTTGATTAAAGGGAGATAACTCTTGTAAGATGTGTGAAAGAACCAATTACTGTTTCCACTGAATGCGAGATACTTTTGTTTGTTTGTGAAGATTTCCTCCTGTGTATGTGACCATGAAACACAAAGTTCTTTTCATTGCAAATCTTTCATTGTTATGCTTCATTAGGAAAATCCTTATTTGATGATATTGGACATTTAGTTCATCCGAAGTACTTGAAACTTCACAATTTCCATACGCATCCACTTTGTAGCTGTTGTCAGACATAGAGAAACTTGGACATGAAATTATACCTTAGTTGTAGACATTTTGAAACCTCCATTGAGACTGGTGATTGGGATTGTCATTGATGATGTCATATGTAACCTCTGCTCTGATTGGTGGGTTAATTTTTTCAGCGCATCTGGTTCATGTGTCAGTTCATTAATGATTTCCTGTCAGGTGGTATGTGAATCATATTGTTCATGAACTATTGTCCACTGCCAGCTGATTGTGAATCATATTGTTCATGAACTATTGTCCACTGCCAGCTGATTGTGAATCATATTGTTCATGAAACTATTGTCCACTGTCGGCTGATTGTGAATCATATTGTTCATAAACTATTGTCCACTGCCAGCTGATTGTGAATCATATTGTTCATGAAACTATTGTCCACTGTCGGCTGATTGTGAATCATATTGTACATGAACTATTGTCCACTGCCAGCTGATTGTGAATCATATTGTTCATGAAACTATTGTCCACTGTCAGCTGATTGTGAATCATATTGTTCATGAACTATTGTCCACTGCCAGCTGATTGTGAATCATATTGTTCATGAACTATTGTCCACTGTCAGCTGATTGTGAATCATATTGTTCATATGAATCATTCTCTTGTCCACTGTCAGCTGATGAACAATATGACCATGAACAAAGCGATTCACATGATCTCATTGTTCACAAACTATTGTTCCCTGTCAAGTGATACATAAGTCATATTGTTCGTATGAACATGATGAATCATTAGTCTACACTGTCAGCTGATATATGAATCATTTTGAACCATTGCCCCGTGTACACAGAACACTGCTTGGAGGTATACCTGTATACAGTTTATCATCACATCACATTGTGGGTTCAGATGTCACAACTTACTTTTTCCTTTTCATCTTTGAGAAGCTCATGTTTGGTATCAGTAGTGAATTGTATACAAATGGTTGGTGTCTTTTATAACCCATGGGCCTTATTTAAGGTTTATGGCACTATGACTTACATAGCGGCGACATACGACTATACTATGACTTGCGTAATTGTCATAGATTATTATAGGTTTATGCCATTCTGAGTGTTGCGATTGTCATAACTCAGTTTGTTTAACAGAAACTTACAACTCTCAGCACTAGGTGTGGAGTACTTGCCACAGATTAGTATAGACTAATGCCAGTCATTATGCTACGACTATCGTAGAGCTTATAGTTTATCACAGACTTACATCAGTCGTGCACTACCATCACGATGTGAAACCAGGCTGTTCTTTGGGACTGCGATGACCTGAGCTGGACTTACTTAAACATATTTTGTTGAAAAAAGGGATGATCAGGATTGTTATTCCACATTGTACAATAATATTCACATCTGATGTACTTTTGTCTTAAATTTATTCATGAAATGATGAATATTTCTAAAAACCTCAAATTTGGACATGTTGGACTTGTACGCCTGAGGTTTGTGTCGTAACTATGGTGACACAGAACATATAATGTTGTGTATGGAGAGGTCCTGTTGACTAAGGTAGTGAAAGATATTAAATTATTATTTTTATCGTCAGAGCTCAGCATGAGTCGAGTCGAATGTTGTTGAATAATGGTGGAGTACTTTTAAAGGAAAATGGTCACATTTTATTCGGTTACTGTTTTCGCTACTAGATGTGCAGGACAAGGTTTCTGACAAGCCCGTGCTCTTCTTGGAATAGATTTGGTTATATGTGAC